TTCTACCAAAGATGATGATTCAGAGGAATTGGGATTGATTTGGCAAAGTTATGCGCTCCAGGCTGGAGGGCAAACTCTCTTTATTACACCCCTCACTGAGCAGCAAAGGGATTCTGTACACAAGAAGGTTTTATAGTGAGACTGGAAAATGGGCATGGATGCAACATCTTTTCTTTTGTCTTTGCTTTGTAGAGTTACATCTTTTAAAATGTAGCATAAATCGATGTATCTGTATTTCATATCTGAGATGTTTTGACATCACTAAATAACAGAAAGTTGTAATTTCCTATTAAAGATAATTATACAACATAACAGAGAGAAATAGTTATAAACAGCCATGAGCAAAAATCAGCCAGTTCTTTACTGTATTTAGTGATAATTTGCAAGTGTTATCATTTAGCATGCTAAAATAAGATGTTACACCTGCTAAATATCAACATGTTACCATTATTGCTGTCAATATGTTAGCATTGTCTTAAAGACATGATGTAAAAATAATTGCTTATTTTAATATTACATTTATTTTAATAGTGGTTTTTTTTTGTCAATTCAATTTTTTACATGTTGAACAAGCAAAATTCACACATCATCTGTTGCTATGGACACCTTTTCAAATCTCAAACCATGCTTTGTTTAGTCAAAATTCAAACACTTACAACCAATGTTAACTTTATGTTGTGTCACATCGAGATTTAAAAAAAAAAAAAAAGACAAAGTTTTCAGATGCATCGACGCTCTTTGTGACAGATGCAGACTCTTACCTGCTTCCCTAGCACACTTATTCTGGCAGTGTCCTAATTTGTCCACTTATTGGAGTTCAACCTTCAGATATTTTTAAAATGGTGATTCAGCCGGATCCTTTGATAACTATTTTTTGGCATAGCAGGAGAAAACAATAAGGACCTCGAACAAACTAAACTCAGAATAACAAAATCTGTCATTTTCACAGCAATTGATCCTTCTACACAGGAAGACTCTCAAGCTGGATTCAGGCTGCATGTCATTTACTTCCAGTGCAACAAGCATCTTTAAAAAAAATCACATGATATATAGTTAGTTGTTGACTGGGGTTACCAGTGTTATCCAACCTCATCAGCCCCCTTGTTACTTTTAGTTTATTTTCTCCCTCATTGCTCAGGAGGAATGCTGATTCATTTAACAACTTTCTTTCTGGAACAGTCATCATTCTCTTTGATTCTGTCTTTCTCCTGCCCTCGTGGTCATGTTGCTGAGTAATCCTCTCAAAAAGCCCATATGACCAGACATAATCCTCAGTGAACTCTAAGTACCTGAATATGTTTGATTGTAAGAGAGGGGGGAAAAAAAGATAAGCAAAGGACGTTCTCCTGCCAGACACTTGCATTCGAACTATAACACAATCCGGCAGTTATGTGGCGTAAATAACTGGCCAGTGTGGTTTAAATTTAAGTAATCTGTTGGACATCATCTATGATGAAAAATCATTGTCAGATACTGTTTCCATGTTTAACAGCTCCACGTTTAACCAGATCATTCAACCCGTTACTTATTACAAAGCAGGATGGTTTGTACTCTTTCCAGTTCATCAAGATTATTCTTTTTGTGTGCGAGTGCAAACTACACTAAATTTCTTGTCCAGCAGACATAGTACAGGACAAACTGTAAAAATTAGCATGTAGGATTTCATTCGGAACCCGAACTTTTTAGGACCAAAATACTTTTTTGTGCACCCACAATAGATGTAACAAAGAACCCCCACAACCATGCCAACAATGGTCAGGATAAGACGGTCCTTTACCTTATATCTTACACATTTTGATGACTGAATTGCAGATTTCCAAGTATTTTCCCAGTCTGTCCTGGTTAGGGTGAATCTCAAATCCTGTTCCCAAGCGAGCTAGGTGGAGCAATAGGAGTTAAGTGTTGCACATACTGGGCTATACATATCGGCCACTGGAGGTACATGCTTTATTAGACAGAAGACATGTTCTGAGCCAGCGGCAGGGGCATCACCATCACCAAGTTTCTTCTCAATCAGTAATGATTATACTTATGTAAGAAAAGAAGGAGTCAGTCAGACCAAATTCCTGTTTCATTTGCTCAAAGTTAGCATAGACATTCCTCTCAACCATCACACTTTTGACAGTGAGCTGTCAGGCACTTCCTTCATATGTAAATGAAATGGAAAGAAATATCTGAGTATAAATATAGCCTTCCTTTAACAAAAATGTTCAGTTTAAAATGGTCCCGATGGAATGAAGACCATTAGAGATGATGTTAACAGTTGTCTGTCTCTTCCCCTCTCCCTGGGCAGAGCTGAAATATAAAAAATGAATGTGTTAGCTAGGATTATCAATCCCGCTCATGATGTTTCTATCCTCTTGGTTTAAGGAGTTACATACTCTTTTGTATGAAATTTCTTTGGAATAAAAAAAACAAAACAAGAATTACCTTAACATTAACGATAGCCTACCTAGAACTAAAGTTGGCCTAGGACTTCCTGATTTTCATAAGTTTTATCTAGCATACAATTCAAGATATCTGCTTTCTTGGACATATAAAGGCAATTACATAATATATTGAAGGCAGCCTGTGACCTCACAGATTACATAAACTTCTGTGTGGATTGCACTGTCCCAACAAAAACTGTCCACTGTTACTCAAACAACAAACTGGGTAACAAAGGAATGCTGAATGTAAAGAGGAGGGCTTTCAGAGATGGTAACAGGGAGGAATTGAAGGTCATTCAACGGGAGCTGAAGGTGAAGATCAGGGAGGCTAAGGAGAAGTACAGGAGGAAGCTGGAGAGTAAACTCCAGCAGAACAATGATTCTTTAACAGATTTGATACTATGGTGTAAGCTGAACCAGCTACAGCTCAAGGTGACAAAGACTAAGGAGCTAGTGGTGGATCTAAGGAAAGCCAAGGCACCAGTGACCCCTGTTTCCATCCAGGGGGTCAGTGTGGACATTGTGGAGGACCACAAATACATAGGCTATAAAATGGACTGGGCCAAGAACACGCAAGCCCTTTACAGGAAGGGCCAAAGCCGTCTCTATTTTCTGAGGAGGCTGAGGTCCTTCACCGCACGATGATGCTGAGGATGTTTTATGTTTTATGCTGGGGCAGCAGGCTGAGGGTAGCGGATGCTAACAGACTCAACAACTGATCCAAAAGGCCAGTGACATTGTGGGGGTGGTGCTGGATTCTCTGTCGGTGGTATCAGAGAGGAGGATGCTGGCCAATCTTGGACAGTGTCTCCCACCCACTCCATGTGCTGTTCAAACAGAGGAGCACTTTCAGCGCAAGACTTATTCCCCCCAAATGCACCACAGAGCTCCACAGGAAGTCATTCCTGCCTGTGGCAATCAGACTCTGTAACTCCTCCCTCTAAGTTTCTGACACACAGACACTTCAATTAAACTGGACATTGTTATCTGTTTTGTGCAACAATCTGTTTAAAAACCTAACTTGCAAAATTCTCTGCTGCAATTCTGCTACTATTTATTCAGTATTACTGTTCACCATAACAATTCTTTTACTTTTTACTCTTATATTTATGTACTTCTTTATATACCAACATACTATTATTATTTATATTCCTTTTGCGTGTGTGCAACTGTGACACAGAATTTCCCCTTGGGGATTGATAAAGTATTTCTGATTCTGATTCTGATTCTGATTTTTGAATTACCAAGATGTAAGCAGCTGAGTAGGGCTTATGCAATCCTGTCTCAACATAAGAATAGTTTCCCAACCACCTGCTGATTTGGATAATGAATTATATTTTCCTGCTCCATTGTATAGACTATCCAAAAAAGATTTGGTATTGACGTGTTTGTTCTCCATTCTGCCCCAACTGGTACAACCAGATGTTAATGGCAGGCGGTTGCTCAGTCAATGATGCTTTGCTACTCTGATCCCTGGAAAAACTGTAGCGACACAAACAAAGAAAGTGGTAGAAAAACATCAAAATACCACTTTTTTAAAAACGTATTTAACTTCTTTTTACTTGTTTTTAAATTATTTATTGGATAATGTTCTTTGAAACTCTAATAACATCCATTTGTATTGGCAGTTGATCATGTTGGCCTGACAGCTCTATATGTCTGTCAGTGTCTGGGGACAATGATGTTCATGTCATGAAGGTTCTGGTGGTAGATTTGCATTGATTATAATGAAAATAATCTGCCCAGGACGGACGCAGATAGCACATTAAATCTTTATTTTAAGTGAACGAACATCATGACATCTGAAATGTCTAATCCATATTGTTTTTCCGGCAGATGACTGAATTAGCTGGAATAAATGAGAATGATATTGAATATCAACAGGGGCTGAGTTTGCCTTCTGCACATTTCATTACAGCATAATTATGCAACAACCCGCTCCGCTTCCAGGCTGTCGTTGATTAATCTGCTTATAAGTACCAACTGGGGGCTTCTACTGAATGTTATAACCTCTGGGTGTTATCTTCATCATGTGGGTTGAACATCTACTTTGCTTTAATTGCATTCACACGTACCCAGTGGTGGAAAAACTCAGATCTCCTAGTAAAAGTAGTGATACCACGGATAGAAATACTCGTAAAAATCATGCATTAAAGTACTCTCTGGTAGGTAAAGGTCGGGAGGTGGGGTTAATTTTAACTACTGTATGTACGTACTGGGTAGGCTACTTACATCATCCATAATAATAAATCATCCTTTAGTTGATTAAATTTTGTCGTAATTATTAGAATCTGAAAAACACAAATGTGGTGGAGAGTGCAGTATTTTCCCCTTAGTGTAGTGGAGTAGTATATACTATATATTGCAAATACTAAGTAGAGCACAAGTACTTTGTGAGTGTTGAATGGATACTTTCCACCACTACACACATCAGTGTCATTTGAACTGTCACTAGCACTGTGGATATTTTAAAGCATTATCTTTTCATAGTAATATGGTTATCATGCATTTGATGGACATCTCTGCTTTTTTTTGACCGTGAAAAATACAGAAAAAAAGACAAACTCTAGAGAGTTTTAATCCTTTATGAGTCATTCAAGAATTGCTGGATCAAAGGATTGAAGTGTACTTTCTGTAAATTATAAACAGCAAATGGACTGACATTAATATGTTAAAATGCAAGTAAAATGAAATTAACAGGATTTCACAGGAACAATGACTAAACAAAATCTATATATAACTACATTTTACAGTGTAGGATAATGTCATCTGGGCTCCTAGCATCTGGAGTCCAGACGTTCACCACTAACTAATCTTTAAGGATTTCAAAGAACTTCACACTTAAGCTATTTATTCATTTACATGGGATAGTTAGGGTGTGAATAGGCCTGTTTGTGCTGTTTACATTATATTTACATTAAGGTTCAATAAATCACATGCAACATAGCATAGAAACTGAACCTTGTTGTATGTTGATAACATTCCTTATTATCTTGTTATACACCAAATCATATGCTACATTAGAACAATACCACAAAAGTGGACTACTTGGTTTTTGAAACCTACTGTAAGAATATTGATTATATGATAACCAGTCTGTTATTGTGTATTTAAAAATGTCAAAGTTATTCCCCATTTTTAAGGTAAGGCTCATGAGGAAACAAAATAATTTGTTAAGAAACATACTATTTGTATTGTGTATTATTATTATTATTATTATTACAAAATGCACAAGTTAAATAGGTTAATTAAATAGTGTCTAAGTCTCAGTCATAGAAGCAATTTTAAAAACACTGATAAGCAGCCATATCTTATTAAATTTTAAAGCCTAATCTAAACCAGGAATATATCATTTAAATTATGTTAAAGTAGATACCAATATTAATTCTGACTTAACTTATTTGGATGCTACTTAAATGTCACACAGACTTCTGCCTTGATTTCATATGAAAATTGAGAGGCGAGAGGAACGTCTAGTTAATCTACAGCCTCCGACTAATCTGTAACTTGTCGTAGGGGCTGTGAATTGAAGAATGGTCCTCTTGTTTAGAGGATTAGTGCAGTTCTGCTCTGGATACAGAGATCACTCTTGACCTTGCAGAGCACGATGTCAGTGGCATGCTCACACTTCATTTCATTGACAGGCGCAATAAACGAGGAAGGACGCCTTCCTGACTGTCCCTAGGGAAGTCATCGGCTATCTGTCACATCAATATGTTTATAACTTTTTCAATATTGATCTATTTGGTTGGAAACTCGATTCTTGACTTTCTTTGTAGAACTATTTTGTATTTTAGGTCAAGCCTGAAACTAACAGAACATTTGGACATAATGGAGCTCAAAATGAAAGTCATCCCCTACATAATTAAATAAATGGCTAATAAAGTTCATATAGACCTGAGAAAACAGAGAAATTGCGTGTTTGTTACAGAAGTAGCCAAGTCCAATGTTGTTTTTTTGTTGCATTTACTATGTGGTACAATGAACTACTGCTGCTTTACTGCATTGTTTGGACACATGTTGAATTTTGTTCACTGTTCAGCAGCTTGAAGTCACTTCACAATTAATTTTTTTTTTTTTTTTTACAAGATTCCAATTAATTTGTTTAGTTGATAAAATACTTTACGTTATACAACTGCAGACACAAAGGACAACAAATCCAGCACATATGTTTACACAGGATAATGGCTACCACTGACACACGCACGTACATTCACAGATGGAAACGCCTAGGTTACTGTGAGAAAACAATAGAACAGTAAGTGTGCGTAAGTATTGCATGCTTTGTTTATTTAGACTTGTTCTCAATTTGAGACACATTAATCTTTTCCCCGGTGAGAAGCTGCCAGATGCCTCCTCTGTAGTTCTCATTTCCCAAAGCGTACAGGAAGAAATTGAAGGTGGGAGAGGTTTTAGCCAGGATAGGAGCCATCTGCAGAGACAAGCGCAACAAAGTTGTAAGTGCTTAACCTTTTCCACTCCGCCTCTCCCTACCATAGACCCATAGAACATTTGTTATTTTACCAATTGTTTTTAGGGGGTATAAGGGCTTAGAACATTATGAAGAAAGTATATGATGGCCAGTCAGCTCTAAAAAAATCTTGATTAAAAATCCTTCCAATATACCACATTTAGACACCAAGACCTTGAGGAGCAGCATAGAAAAAATCATACTTTGATTTAGTATTAAAAAAAACTTTTGACATTTGTAGATTTCTATAATTGCATTTTTCGATGTATGTATGGCTAGCATTTCTGTTCTGGAAATTTTTCAGAAACCCCCTTATTGTCACTATACCTAGGAAAGTTTCACGAGGCTGTGATTATCCCAGAGGTCACAATAATCATACAGTGAGGTCAAGTTTCAAAAAATGGTTTCACTACAACAAAATGGCTACTATGGGGACTAACATCATCACGCATAAATACAGCTGAATCCACAAGTGTCTAAGCTTTCCAGTCATACTTATTTATGCAATTCCGATACTGTTTAGGGACCCCTGTATGTAGAAATATTCAAATCATGCAAAATAATGCTTAGGTTTTGCCCCAACCCATACAGCCCATTTTTATTCATATCTTGAGGTGAGAGGCCAACAGACCCCTTTGAAAATGGCCACGCAACTTTTTCCCTCACCAAAATTTGTTTTTATTTATCCTACATTTGGAGCGTTATTTAGATGAGTGATAAAAATAAGAATGTTAATAGAGTACTTCATTCGATACCTTGCTATTTTTTTTGTTGTTATGGATAAGCTAGGAGATCTATTTTCAAAAACCTGTAATATAAAAATATTGGCAAATTGTTTCAGATTGCTCCTCATCCTAATTAGGTCATCCTCAGAGGAAAGACAACAGCTTGGGAGTTTTTTTGTATTTGAACGAGAGAGGAGGAGTGAGTTCACATAAGTTGTGGAAAACAAATTTAAAGAGGTGGTATTATGGTTTTTTGCTTTTTCCCTCTCCTTTATTGAGTTATATATCTTTTCTGTGCATGTAATAGGTTTGCAAAGTGAAAAAGCCCACCACCCCAAAGGGAGTTCCCATCTCCCACAGAAAACACTGCTCTGAACTGCCTGAAAACAGCTCATTTGTAGTCCAGCCCTTACTTCCCTTTCTTGTGATGTCACAATGAAAATACGTGTCATAATGCTAGCTGAGCGGCTACTCCGACACGCCCTCAAAAACATTGTGGAAAAACACTGAGCTGCAGCACTCACCTCTCCTCTCCCTTCCAAACACTAGCTACCCTCCAAGCAGTCAATGGACATGAAGTTGTTACTGTGATGTAGAGAAAGAGCTCTTTATGGATGAAAGATACTTTTGTTACAGATTAATAACTCACCACTCTGAAACTCTTGCTGCAGTCCATATTGCCAACCTAGTCGGCAACATGTAGCCTACAGCTGAATCGAAGCTGTTTACTGTCTTTTCACTGACCCGCCTTTCTCTGCTTCTGATTGGCTATTACCGGCCTTTCGCTGACCTGCCCTTCTCTGCTTCTGATTGGCTAGTAGTCCTTAACTAGGAACTGCGCGTGTGCAACTCCCAACAAACATCATTTAGAGACAAGATGTATCACTCCATAGCTAAAACGAGGCCTTCAACACACAGGGTCAAAAGAGGAGCTGCAGCAATGTGCAGTATGACAAAAAATATGGTGTTTTTTGAAAATTAAACCATGTAAACCTGTTCTGGTACAACCCCTAAATAGGATTTTGAACTTTGAAAATGAGCATAATACTACCTCTTTAAGTTAAATTTTTCATTTCATTTTTCATATGTTTGTTAGGCACATAAGGGAAAAAAGAGCTATGCTCTTCTATTTCTTTCGGTGTGTTGCTTGCGTGTTTGGCTGCAAGCAAATAACCAGATCGCAAGTACTGGTTTGACTGGAGACGTTTCGATACTACTCGATACTGGGCTGTTTCGGTCGATACCTTAAAGGTATCGCTACTCGATACCTCATCACTGGTATGGATGTATGTCAAACATCTGACTGTGAGCATCCTATATGAGCTGCATTTTAATATATATACATTAATAAGTTTGGATTATACTGGAAGATTTTTTGTGTGAATGTATGTACTTGTTGTCCTTACCATCCGGAGTTTGGGGGAGACCAGGTTGGCATTCTCCACAGCGGCGTAGAAAGCCAGGATGCCATATGGACCCCAGCAGAACAGCAAAGTCTTAAGAGGAGTGTTGGGGTTGAACTACAGAGGGGAAATAATAAAGACAGGGAGGAAGAGCAGGATAGATAAACATGGAAGTGGAGATAAACAGAAACAGGGAGAGAGGATCAGAACAAGAATCATTAGTTACTGATTTACTATAAGGATCCAAAGACAAGACAAGACAAAAATGCCTTGTGTCATGAGGTATTTTTCTAGGGGGCAAGTCACACGCCTGCTATCATGACTGGGAGAAAGACAGTGGCTGTTAAGATCATTCATGCTTGGCTACAAAACAGAAACAGCCAGCAAGTAAAGGGGCAGGTTGCTGTGATCCAGGGGTCAAAGTAGGCATTACTCTAAATTGGAGATTGCACATGACATGCAGAACGAATTATAACCCCATAACATACAGTCACAGTGTTCTGGTGGAGAGCTTGGAGTCTCTACTCTGTAGTCTTTGTGACGAAATGAAAGTGCCTAAAGCCAACTCAGATGACTGTGAGTAATGGGCTTATGCAACATAAAGTGAGGCAACCTGATTCTCAACTGAACTCAGATACTTTGTTCTTTTCACCGCACATCTACTGTCCACGTTCCCAAATGAAGCACTCTGTCTTCCCCCTGTGGCAATGACCTATATATGTCACAGTCTGCACGCCCCCATTCACATTCTGTTTTGTTACTCTGAATAGGGGCCACGTGAGGAGGTTGTCCTTACACTACGAAGAGATGAAATAGATGCAAACATAAGTTGCTTTTGGCTCTAATTCCTTCCAATAGGTGACCTCAAAGCAGGAACCTTTACGTGGACTGCATATGTTGGTAAGGATTTCTGTGGTATAACTGCCAGTGGCTTGAAATCCAGAGTCATTTCTAAATTCCTCTGCCTCATGCGTGTAATTAAATTTGGGGTTGGAGCCACTGTAGCAAAACAGAGCCAGTCTGTCTCTGTGTTCACATGAAAACACAAAATTGCTATGACAACTTCAATTTGAAAAATCAGTGTATAAGGCCAGTACCTGAAAAATCAGTGTATACATCTACATCGCTCTATACTTCTGATCCTATGTTGTTGGAGTTGGAGGATTTTTTTACTCACTCTGGGGTTTCCAGTCTTGTTAAATTTCTGTGCAATGGACTGGTAAGAGGACATGACAACAAACGTTTGGATGGCCATGTTGAAGGTGGCCATGGGGATCAAGTAGGACACATAGTTTCTGTGGAGAGAAAAAAAAAAGAATGGCTCAGTGTAAACGGTGAGCAATGGAAAACGCAAAGACATCTACAGTTGGCCTGATAGCAGTGTGAAAAGCGTATGTCTGTATATAGTACCTGTCTCCCTTGCTGTAGTCCAGAGTACAGCAAGTCCGGAGGGGCTCGTAGTCGTACTCTCCCCAGCCAAAGAGGGGCATTGCAGACCAGAAGGCGCTGAAGAGCCAGACAAATATAGCGAGAGTAATGGCGCTGCTCCACTGCAGCTTTGTCCCTGACAAGAACAAGGTCAAAAAATAATTTATTTTTTTAACACCTTAATCAATATGATGGCATGCTTGACTATATTATTTTCTCAGTCTGGTAAAGGTGACACTACTACCAAATCATTTTGCTTTAACATGTTTATACCGGGAAACAGCGGTATACTATCCACCACAGAAAATTATGTGAACACTGGAGGTTAGGTGTTGAGTCACTTCCTCTTCCTGCTATTAATAATGGCTGAAAATAGCAGGAGGGCTGATTTTGTTTCTCAGAGTTAAAATTATTAAAAAACATGCAAGCCTCCCAGGTCGCAGGTGTAACACCATTTGCTTTTGTCACTGATATCATGAGAAGGAACTGTGGCAAATTTAAAGACAAAAGGCCACTTGTTGACCAGCTGGCCTCTCCAGGATCGCGGGTGGTGTTTAGGTCAGCTGGGAGCCAAGAACAAAAATTAGTTCAGTGAATGCGTGGATTCCGTGTGTGTGAGTGTGGGGGAGGGGGGGGGGGGGATGCATTTTGTTGTAATTGTGCATTATCTTCTGGGCAGGGATAGAAGCATGTGTTAACTTACTGGTGCAGTACTGGTGGTATCTGTCCCAGGCAACGGCGGCTATAAAGTGGATGCTGGCGAGAGCTGTCACAAAACCATGGAAACCGTGAGTCTGGCATCCTTCAGAGCCATAAGGCCAGTACCTGGAGAGAGAGAACATGTGCATAAATTAATTTATTTATTATTGTAAAAAAAAACAATTAGTACAAATTGGCCCTTCAGGGTGAGCTGTTTTATAACAACTTATGTTCATGACCAAACACACTGAAATCAATCAATTTACTTATTTCAGACCATGGATCTATATTTAAAAAATAAATAATAGTAATATTTTTATCATCCTTGGCCTCATGAAAACTGACAACAGCATCTCTCATCTCCTGATTACAGCGTGAAAATCCACAGCACATTATGACATAGCAGAGTTGACCGCCCCCCCACTCTACAGCTTTGATTGTTCCTATCTTTTAGGCTATAGCTACAGCTCTGTGTCAATTATTCACCTCACATGGAGGACAGGGAGCCAGTAATATCAAGGTTATTATTTGGTCATTTCATTTCATTTGGCCACTGACCTGGATATACATTATGAAAGGGGGTGGTTACATCACTCACCTCAGGAAGCTGGAGAAAGCAGCGATGGTGGCGTTCATCGAGATGCCCATATCAGCCATCGCCAAGCTGAACACTAGGAAATTGCTGGGGGTCCTCAGCTCTCTCACTTTTAGGAAAGCGACGATTGTCACCGCATTTAAAAAGAAGCCCAGCATACCTTTTGGTGGAAGAAAAATAAACATTCATAAATGAAGGCAGCGATGAATGGAAATTAGTGCTTACAGCGCCACATGTAGCACCGTGACATTTCAAGATGAGTGAAAACATGCTCTTTTCAAACATCGCAGACAGTTCTCGTCAACAGTCTAGAAGTGAAAGTCAATGTGCGAGTTTAAAGAGAAATCTACAGATCCCTTGCACGTACATATATCCCTTGCTCCCACAACATTATGCTGTCAGCAACTAGATGTAGTCGGGTCCAGTCATAGGCTATTTGAATGTTATAGTACACAGCGGTTGCCGCCCTCGTAGCCTCGCAGTTTTTGGTTGAATATCAGCACAAAAGCCCAAAACACTCACCCTCCACCAGCAGGCAAGATCCCAGGGAGAAAACATCAAAGTCCGAGAAGCCCTCCGGTAAAGGGTAAGACGAGACCATCCTGGAGCCGATTTGACACAACAAAGTGCAGCTGTCTGAGACTTTTCACTACTCTCTATCCGTTCGGTTACGATGTGCCTTAGTATGACAGAAGGGAGCCCGCTTTTAAAGGGGCATTTCACGTGAAAAGCATGCACTTCATTGTGTAAAGCCCCCCTCTCCCAGTTGCCCCAATCCGTGCAGGAATGTATTAATGAACATAGCCACACACACCGCAACCCTTAATGCGTATTTGCCTACCACAACAGTAAAGCCCTTAATTAGTTACACAACAAGCCTTTGTGTCTCCGTGTCCCGGTGAGGATGCAGCGGCTGCTGATGTCAAACGACGAGATGACTGATGCAGCCCACAGCTCAGCATCGCTTTAAGGGGACACAACAGGTGTCTGCAGAGCTTCGCCCTCCTGCAAATCAGAACCATATTCACATGTAATAAGAAAGCAGTATCCCCCCAATATCTATTATTCTTAGACAACTATGTCTTCTCCAAAGGCTCTGCATGAGTGTTACATCCAGAGGGTACAGGGTTAATATACCCTTATGAATAGGTTTAAAGGCATGCGGTGTATGCTCAAAAGATGAGGATAGGCTACTACATGGTTTTATATTCACAGCCCCAAATACATATATCAGTGCATTGCAGATTATGCAGGATTTATCTTAAAGTAAAATGTATGTGATGTATTTTAATTCATTGTAGTAACCATGCACATTGGCTGACTGTTCATTTATACTATTAGTGCTTATTGGTCCATGTGATTATTGTTGATTTGTATCTTTATTAATCCTTTGCGCCATATGGCAGGACTCTGTTTTGACTATAGGATGTGAAACTGGACACACCATCATTCGTTTTGTCGTCATTTTTGAACAGAATAAAAGTTATGATAGACATACTGACCTCCAGAGATGAATCCAACTGTGTCATAGATGGCAAAACCAAATTGCACTTTTAGAATTATAGACAAAACATCTGCGGTTGAAGTCAGTTTGGAGTGTTCTGTGTGATGAGGGCAAAATGCAGTGTACAATAAAAGCCTGTGTTCCAATTCAGCTTTAGTTGATCAACAAGTGTGTAAATTACATGAATTCCAGCCATTATCTCCAGCCTATGGTGGATTTGTCATGTTTCAGTTGCAACACCGTTTACAGCTTTTCAAGCCATAGAGCTAAAGGGGACACAGATGATCCTTGCGACCCTGTACGCAGGATAAGCGGTTGACGATGGATGGATGTATCAGATGATTTTTGTGGCTATGATAACAGAGCTGAGAAAATTCTTGTTTGCTAGTCAACTTTTTTTGATGAAGAAGGTTTCAGGCCTTAAGCAGCAAGATTTATTGAAGCCTGGCCAGGGAGAAAATAGCAACAGCAGTCAAAAGTTAGAACACAAAGTAGTACCAAACGAAATCTGAAGATTTGACCATTATTTATCTCTTTACTATTCCTATAGAGTCAGTGATGTAGCCCATACAAGTTCATTCTCCACTGGCCTAAATATGTATAACCATCATATTGGAAGTTAAAGTCTAATGGTTTAGCTAAGTTAACCCAAGTCATGTATTGTGTCATTCAAGTCACATGCAACACTTTCTGAAGAGAGGCAGTCAGTTTTTATGAAGCACAATGAAGATAATCTTGGGTTACCTAGGACTATAGAGTTCAGCCTTATCAAGGCAACAGCGTCAGTTGATCTCTCAAACAGACAGAGAGGAAAGACATTGTTTTTGTTTTAGAGAGTCAATGGCTGTCACCTTTGGCTTACTTTGGCTCAGCAAATGATCCTAACGTGACCTGGGGAAACACTGTGTGATATTACCCTTAAAGAAGGAAAAATCCTTCACACTGACCACTAAACTATGTGGGATTATGGTGGGACAAAACCATGTGTCCTTGGTTGAACCCAACATGAATTTAGGTGTGCAGTTACATTTTTTAATTCCAATTTAGTTTTCTTACAATTGGTCACACGTAAACCGGAAAACACTTTTACAAATGTATCCCATTTGAGATCAAATTGGGGAAACACACAAATAAGTAAATGCAATACTAATAATATTTTGATGTTTTTCCTGAAAGTGGTTGTGCACTGAAGTAAACTCTTACACTGAATTGGCTTCATTTTGCCAATGATATTGTATGAAACAGCAAACACTCCACTATATATTCATTTAATAATTTATTCTAGTGTTACTTGAGTATGTTCTAAGGAGACTTTTTGCACACTGACAATGACATTGCACCTCAAATATAGTCCAGTCTTTTGGTTCATACAGTGTCAAAGATTGACTTTAGTAAATGAGATTAACTACTTGCAGTGTGACATGTAATGTTTAAGTGTTTGAACACAAGGGCACATGATTGCTCAACATGGTTAGAGCCTCAGTACAGACCTGCATGTTTCTAAAACCATACACTCTAAAAGATCTGTGAAGAGAATGGATTTTAATATAGAAAGGTTAAAGTGTGCAATAAAACAAAAATAAAGGTTATTGTATCAATATGTGGCACAAAACACACATACACACAAGAGATAGATAGATAGATAGATAGATAGATAGATAGATAGATAGAGTAACTATTATTGTTTCTATTCATCTGTTGTTATTTGTATCTGAATTTATCCATCTTTTGAAAACTTTATGCTGTGCTCTAAAACATTTGGCCTGGCTCTGTGGTTATATGAGAGTCAGATATAAAAAAGGGAGTCTTGCTGCCAAGCGGTTCAAACACATTGAACACGCAGTGTTCCGTCATCTCTTCAGGTCTGTCGGCACACTTTGGTTGTGCCAGCCAAGTGTAACACTGAACTCCCTGTGTGATGAAAGGGGAACACAGTAAGCAGGTGCCAAATAACACATGTAGTATTTACCTACATTTCAAAACAAATGCTTTACAATTCAATATATTTCCCTCCAGTAGTGTGGGACTGTGTCCAAATGGATTAGTGAGTTGAAAAAGCCACTGTGAGTCTCTTACATTCAAACTGATTAAACATGCATTCCTTTCAAATTTTGTTGGTTGTTTCCTTTTAATTAATAATCTGCATGTGTAATGTATGTGCAGGTACATAAACAATAATAATACCTTGATTGCACCTTTCAAAACAGAGTTAGAAAATGATTTACAAACAGGGTATACGGTATATTGATGAAGTAAGGCTACACAGTGCATTTAAACAGCAATAAGGGGAATAAAAACTTGTCAAATAAAAAAAAACTTTTGGAAAAAAAGAAAAGATAACCAGAAATAGGATAAAATAAATAGAATGCTCACTAAATTAAATTAATTAAATTGGATGGGAGCGCCAAAAGACTGAGCGAGAATGTAAAAGGAAAAGTGAATGTCTGACATGTAGTCTAGTGATATTGAGCACAAAACTTTTAAGAGATGGTGTACTGTGAAATGATTTGTCAGCAGTGATCCATTTTATTTTCTCTTATTTTGAATTAATATTACTGTTTTTTCCCCAAATCATATGATCTGTGTCTGCTTTCTCACGGCAGTAATAGTAGCTGTTTGTTCTCCAAATTAAATAGGATGGCAGATTAAGAAAATGTTAAGTGAGCTGAATGGACAGGCCCCAAGGTAGGAGCCACAGGCTATGATATAGGGGCCACCTTGTGGTAAAACATGGTGCTGTCCATTTACAGATTAACAGTCATGGTAGGGCTCAAATGAACTAGCTACATTTGAGGGAAAGAAAAAAAAAATCCAAACATCACAGTGGATTATGACCATTTCGGAAGTGTTTTTCTGTGATAATACATAGGGACGTATCTGCGCAGCCTATCGGATTCCGGGATGCAATACGCATCCAAATGAAAAGAACGCCAGTCCTTTCGCTAATCCTTGTCTATCCTTTTTATCTCGGGACTCATAGCATTCGGATCACTATGGGACAGCGAAGCGGTGGGACAAAGCCATGCAGACCATATTCCAGTAAATGTGAGAAAAAAAGCAAGTCTGTTTGACTTCAGTGGGCGCAAACTGGGCGCATGTAGACAAGCTGCGTATGCGTAAAAGTGGGCCAAAATGTTCCTCGTCCTGGTCCTGGGGCTCTACGTGGCCACAGGTGTACTTGTCTCCCCAGTGATCTCCTGCCCGTCGCAGTGCAGCTGTTTTTACCACAACCTGAGTGACGGATCAAAGGCCAGGTAAGGAGGATGTCCAAATGGAAATTATTTTACATCAAAAAAAAACATTAATGTGTTCTGGTTTGTGCGTACTGACGCATGTTTTTAGACGGACAGATGTTTGCATAGAGGTAAACACGTGTACAGAAGATAATTCAGGGAGTGCATGTCCGTCCAATTTTATTTAATGCAGGATTATCTCTCAAAGGCACTTTCAGCCCCCTCATCTATGCGTTTTATGCGAGTTTGGATAGATTGGTTTTTATTCTCTAGACTTAAAAACACGATTGCTAATTTCTAATTCATTTTCACAGTCACTTTTTCATTTTCTTTGTTACATTGCAAACTGTTCTTCAATGACTAATTTGTGAGGGATGATTTGGAGGTGAGCACAAATTCACTTATGATGCCTCCCTTTTAGGAGCGTGATTTGTAATGATCCCGAGATATCTCTTGTGCCTCTCGGGTTCCCTGTTGACACGTCCAAGCTGCGGATTGAGAAGACGGCCATCCAGCAGATATCAAGCGAAGCCTTCAACTACCTCTCAAGTCTGGAATTCCTGTGGATGTCTTTCAACACGCTTTCCGCCTTGAACCCGGACAGTTTCCGGGGACTGTTCAGCCTGGAAGAGCTTCGTCTGGACGGGAATGCCCTCACCGCCTTTCCCTGGGAATGTCTCATGGATATGCCCAGCCTCAGACTTCTCGATTTGCACAACAACCAGCTCACCTCGCTGCCGGCGGAGGCTACCACTTACATCAAGAACCTCACCTACCTGGATTTGTCCAGCAACAGCCTGCTGACCCTGCCGACTGAGGTGCTGTCCACATGGCTGGCGGCAAAACCTGTGCAAGGGCCAGAGAGCTCCAAAATGATACTTGGTAAGCGACAGTGCGCATCCTGACGTCCAACCTTCTTTCAACCAAACCTTCGGGTGGTGGTTTAGCTATACCTGCCTCAATTTTAATACCTAAAGCGCGCTGCTAAACACTGTGCGTAAAGGAAAGCGTGTTAATTAATTTTGCGCAAAGCAACATTCTTGAATATTAGCTGTACAACAGTTTCTAGGCAACACATAATTTGAAGCAAGATGGGATGGGGTATGCCGGCGGTAGTTGATAAAAACTGCCCCATTAATATTTGAAGTAGTTGTGTGCTTTTAATCGATAAAATTTTTAGCTTTTAAATACCAGTGCAACACTAACACTAAACATTCAATACATGGTTTGAAATAAACTAGAATACAGTTTTGAGCAGAAATAAGTGTTTATTCATGTATTTGTCTGCAACTGCAACTCCTTCTGTGGGAACCAAAAAGCATAAGGTGGGAGATAATGAATGACAATATAGTAAAACACAGTTGTCATAATATAAAATATGTCTACATAGGAAAAGTTGCAATTGTAGACAAATATCATTTGTATTCATTCACATTCATTACATTTATTTACATTTTAAATTGCTCTTATAGCTGCTTACAACTACATAACAGTGTGTAATAAACAATTAATTAAATGTTTACATAGTGCTTATAAATGCTAAACAAGGGGGTTAAAGTGAAGTGTTACCAAGACAAGGTTATGGCCTGTTACATAAGTAAATTGTTCAAATTCTTTGCACTTAAAGTCGCTATTAATTGAGAATACATGGATTTTTCTAAAATGGCGAATTCTAATTTCGGAATCTTTTTGTATACAGGTGCCTTGGCCCATTCTGTTGACCCTTTAGAACCAAAGACAAGGACTTAGTTTAATTGTGTGCAGTTGAAGCCTCATTGGCAATATTTTGTCATAATTTTTTGCCTTTAAATTTAGAACAGCTGCATGCACTGTGTCACTGCACTTCATAGCCAATTGCATGTTTATAATACAAGTGGAAGTTAATTTTACACTTGCTCATCTTCTGTTTTTAACCTATCCTCATACTCATGACAGCTGTTCCAGGTTCAGCTCTAATGGCTGGTGCTTTGTTCATGGAGGTTAAATGACAGCAAAACCTGACCTTGATCACCAGCTCACTACCACCACCACCACCACCATCTTCATCATCATCATCATCATTATCACCACCACCACTGCCATAGTCATGGTCATGATGTAGTTTATGAATTAAATGTTAATCCTCTTACAGGATTAACATCCTAACATCCACACCAGCCATCTGCAGGCTGGTCTGTCACTTTGCACACAGCTGGACGCTCGTCTTCCTCCTATAGCCTCACTTGTACCCTCACCCTCAGGTCTCCATGACAACCCCTGGGTGTGTGACTGCCGGCTCTATGACCTGGTCCAGTTCCAGAAGACTCCGACACTCTCAGTGGCGTTCATTGACACAAGGCTCCGGTGTTCAGCTCCTGAGAGTCTATCTGGGGTTTTGTTCAGTGACGCAGAGCTGCGGCGCTGTCAGCTCCCACGTATCCACACAGCTGTGGCACGAGTCCGAAGCGCTGTCGGGAACAACGTGCTGCTCCGCTGTGGGACCATTGGAGTCCCCATCCCAGACCTGACGTGGCGCAGGATGGATGGACGAGTCCTTAATGGAACAGGTGTGTTTCTCTGTTTTGTGCATGAGATAAGATGCTTTTGTCTGCACTGTAGTGCTGCTGTTAATTAAACAGAGAGCTGTCAGTGGAGACAGTAAGGTTGTGAGCGTGACTGACAGCTGTGGCTACAACAGGGTTATGCAGCACTGATGATGCTCAGTGCAACATTGTATAATCATCTGCTTGATACTTTGTATGATATGGGATATTTCTCAAATGCCATATCCCATTGCAGTTTTCTTTTTCATATGTTGTCCTTTTGTAACCGTTAAAATCTCCCTTCTCTGCCACCACAGTCCAGCAGGAAACCTCAAAGGAGGGAATCACCTGGTCCATCCTCAGTGTCTCAGCTGTGTCCCATCGTGATTCAGGGAAATACATCTGCAAGGCCACTAACTATGCGGGGAATGCTGAAGCTGTCATTTCTCTTGTTGTCTCGAACTCACCAAAACCAGAAGGGAACCAAACCAGCAATGACAAGAAAGCCAAAGTCAAGAAACCCAACCAGATGGGCAAAGCTGCCTACCAGGAGAAACTGGTGGCCAGATATGTGGTTCCAACCACCACCCCTTCATCCCTGCCTGCCCTAGATCCAGGCCTTCCACCTGGTCTTGGTCTTGATCCTGGACTATCCAGTTACAGCCTGGCTGACAGAGCCACCCCGAGGCCCGCCACCTCCTCCAACCCAGATGCAATGCTGGATCTGGAGAAGACTAATCTAAGCAACCTGGCGGCCAACACCTCGTCGCTGCAGCAGGACCCCGACAGGGTGGTCCGCTCAGTAAAGGTGGTGGGGGACACAGACAACACAATTTCTCTGAACTGGAGAGCCCCTAAGGCCAAGAACACAACAGCTTTTAGTGTGTTGTATGCTGTGTTTGGAGAGAGGGACATGAGGAAGATCAACGTTGGGGCAGGGCAGAACCGGGTAACCATCGAAGGGCTGGTGCCTAGGACCAAGTACATTGCCTGTGTGTGTGTGAGGGGGCTAATCCCCAGGAAGGAGCAGTGTGTCATATTTTCTACTGATGAAGCAGCCAGTGCCACTGGCACCCAGAAGCTGATTAACGTGATTGTGATCACAGTGGCCTGTATCATCGCCGTCCCGCTCACTGTCATCGTGTGCTGTGGGGCACTGAAGAGACGCATTCAAAAGTACTGGGGAAAGAAGTCAAAGGACATCCAAGATTCATATGTGACCTTTGAAACACTGTCGCCTGGCACGAAGGCCAAAGGGCTGGAGGGCGAGTATTTGAACAGACTGAACCCAGAGGAGTCCAACAGGCTGCTGTCAGCCCGCTCCAGCCTCGACTCTGAGGCCACAGCTAAGATAGAGGGACAGCCTAATGAGTACTTCTGCTGACATCATGCTCCAGCTCCGGCTCCTGCTGCACGCCATCTTCCTCGCACTCACCCGCATCCATGTCCCAATCCCAACCCAAATACCCATTCACATCCCCATCACCACCCACGTTCCCATCTCCACCCACATCCATATCCCCATCACTACCCGTACCCTCAACGTCAGCAACATCCTGACGTCAGTCCACCTCCCACACGCTCTCATACACCCACGCCATGGGATTCCCCCCCACCTGTCCCTCCTCGCTGGATCACGCCACCAACTCCACCACCACAGAGAGCCAACTTCTATCAAAGGACTTTTGCACGCTGCACTATAATGGAAATATCAGTTTAGAGAATATTTAACAGTTTAATTAAATTGTTTTTTTCCAGACATGTGTAGAATTTTTCATGTTTCTTGCAGATAGAGGGAAACTCACTGGACTGTCATACGTGTAACCATGTATTAATAGTAAGATGACATTCAGACACACTCATGCTTTCATGTTTAAATGAATGTTATTATCACTAAGCCTGTAAGAGAAAACATGTCAATAGCTGAAAAAGCATAAAAATCACTGTCATTTATGTTTCATCTCACTTGCATGGCCCAGCGAAGAAACCTCTGCAACCCGATCTGACATAAAAGGGAACTCAACGGTTGACACTCCATTGTTTATATCATATATGTATGTGTATGATTTGTATATACTTCACTGGATGATGTACACTTACATATACAGCTAAGTCTGTGCCTCTGTATGTATCTGTCATATGTTCTCAGAGAGAGAGATATACACACAGGCATGGTTCAACACTCTGGTGAATGAAGAAAAGCTGGAGCTGGAGAGAAGTACAGAAAGGACTGAACTATGACACTTTGTAAATAAGGTGGAAATTATGCAAAATGCTAAACGATTTCTATTCCCAGCTATATGACACACATAATGAAATATCTCTATGTACCTGTTTTGTGCCACCTAGAGGCATATTTACCCCATTAAATGTAGAACTATTCATTCATTCCAATAATATTATTTAAATATAGTTAAATAAACTTTTATACAGTTAACTGTTTTGTGTATTCTTATATCTCTACTTTCACCTCGCCATTAATCAATATTCAAACTGGGTTGCATTCAGCAAGGTTGTGAAAAAGAGTGATATAGATTTTATTCACTTGGATTGGCAGGCTCTTGACTGTCTGTCTGTCTGGGGTGGTCTAATACAAGTCACCCTTCATAAAGGCTTTGCAAGTTGTAATGGCTTTATTAATGTTAATAAATCGTTTACTAATGCTTTATAAATCAGTTATAAGCCATTATTGAGAGCAGCTTTTGGGATGCCAGATTGTGAAAAGAATAATCCTGCAGGTTTTTATTGTCCAGTAGGATAGTTATTTAATTAATAAATAAAAACCTCTAATGGAACTTATTTTATTACTTTACTATTTTCTGGAAAAAAATGCAGAACAAATTTAATTAATTAACAACACAACTTCTAAACATGTATTACTGCAGACTTAAAGTACTTATTAATGGCTTGCTTTATAACTGCGTTATCACTAGCAAGGGTAAATACCAGTCAGAGGGATTTTTCACAAACTGGCAACCCAAAACTTGTTCTTATTAAGGGCTTATTTGTCTATAACATGAGTAAATAAGTAGTTACATTAGTTACACCTGCATAAGTGGTACCGATTTAAACATGTAGTGGTCAGACCTACTGACACTGTCAAGTGTTAATCTTGCGTGTCTTTTCCAAGAATTAGACGCCACTTGTTGGCCTACGTGGTACGTCAGGGATTAAGCCTAATAGGCTTCTCTGGTTTGCGGCACTGGACATGTCTTGAGCACGAATGTAGTCCTCAACTTTTCACGGACTATGGACATAATTTGTTACCTATTAGTTATAGTTTTGTCCACCATCCAGGCGTATGAAACTTATTCTCAATGTTTGCGCGGGTGCAGCTGTGTAGAAGACCGCCATGGAAGGTAAGACATTATTTCACCTTGTCCAATATACCAAGGCAGAGGTATTTTTAACTTATGTAACTGTGTCAGGTTAGCCTTTAGAAGTTAGGTTGAAGTCTGTAGTTCTTATTGTGGTTCTACCAAGTAAACAGTGTTTTTAAAGCATCAAGCTACACAGTAACCAAATGTTCATTTAAAATTTTCCCTTTAATCATAGGTCGCTGGTATGTATGGAGGAGAGCGCGTTTGGGGCCATACCAGAGAACCTTCCAGATGATATGACCAAAATACGAATAGAAAAATCTCACTTCACTGAAATACCCAGAGGGGCGTTCTCAAAAACGCCCGCCTTGGAGAACTTGTGGTTGAACTTCAATGATATCACAGTGATAAACTCAAAGGGTCTGGAGGGTTTAGGGAACTTAACCGAGCTCCGTCTGCAAGGGAACAAGCTGCGTTCAGTACCATGGACAGCGTTCGAGGACACGCCAGCCCTCAAGATCCTGGACCTGAAGCACAACCAGCTGGACGTTCTGCCGGAGCATGCGTTAAAATTTTTGCCAGGTCTGACTTACTTAGACTTATCCTTCAATCGGCTTACGGTCATATCGAAGGAGGTCTTCCAAAACTGGCCCCTCTACCAAAAACTGCAGGGCATGGAGGAGCAGGAGGCGACCGCTTTCGTGCCGAACGTCGTCCTCGCCCTCCACGACAACGCCTGGCTCTGCGACTGCCGCCTGAAGGGCTTCGTGGAGTTCATCAGGTCCCTGAGGCCCCCGATTTTACTGATGAACTCTTACTTGACCTGCTCAGGGCCGGACTTTAGGGCAGGCAAGTTCTTCCACGAGGTAGAGCTGCAGGCGTGCATGAAGCCCGTCGTCACCACCCAGTCCTCCAACATCAGCCTGCCTCAAGGCGTAAACCTCACCCTGCGCTGCCTCGCCAAGGCCAGGCCAGACCCGGCGGTGTGGTGGACATATGGCCTGAAGATAATCAGAGGATTTCATGGTAAGAGTGCATGTCATCCGCACACCCAGCTAGAGTTATATCTTGTAGTAAATTAGATACTTAAACACACATCACAGACCCCTCGCCTGTAAGATGAGGGAGTCTAAATCTGGATATTGGCCCACCGCGATACAATCATCACTGATTCCCTCAATCTGCATAACACTATCAGTGTTAATAAGAGAGTTGGCGATTATACAGTGCTGTAGCCTACCCAATTTCAGCCGTGTTGGGCTACTGTGTAATTAAGTAAACATCTGCGTCATTAGACCTGACCTAGTGGAGTGCTTACTGCAGATCATGACATCCAAGTCGTGCAAGTGCAACAGTTCATCATATACTAATGCAAACAGGCTGCTGCTTCTCTCACTGGTATCCCTACTGCTATCAATATCCCGACTGCTAATGCAAACAGGCATCTATCTCATTATTTGGGCTAGAAACCAGAGGTGAGTAGAGTAGCTGCAGCTCAAGTAAAAGTATTTGTATACATATATACTTTAGAAAGACAAGTAGAAGTAAAAGTAATTATCAAAATAATGAGTAAAATAAAAATCCACAGGACACTTTCATAATAAGGCACATTTGCAAATGGTGTATCCCTTGTAGCTAATTGTTTTATACTGGTTATACATGATTTATTAATACTACCTTTTTGGTTGTCAGGTTGTGAAAAATCTTCCTTGCTGCGGAGTCATTACTGGTCATGACATTAATAAAATCATTAATCAAGAGTAATGAGCGTGGAACTTTCTAATAAGCCATCAAGTCTGCAGTGCAGGATTTTTCACTGTACAATAAGCCAAGAGCAAAAGCTAGTCAGTCGTTTGTAATCATAAATGATAACAATTAATTTAATAAAGGAATTGTATAGTTGTCCATTACGTCTGTACTATTAAATTTAAAAGGTTGCAGATAAATGCATTTTGTTTTGGATACCCTGCAGCTGTTTTCCAGAAGATCAGAGGCCAAATGGTCCATTAGAGCAGTCTTCCTGATTAATAAAGGAGCTACATGAATTCTGCCAACACAGAATCACATTAATGGTTTATATCTGTTCTCTAAAGCATTGAATTGCATTGGATTAAACTTTATTTAGGTCTTTAAGTTGAAAAGTGATTTTTTAAACATTAATACAGCCATAATTACAACTTAAAATAAACCCTTCACAAAGGATATCAGACTACTTGAGTAGGGATACACTTCATGGGGAAAAGCCCACTGCTGTTCGTACTTCTTTTATTCCATGTAGCTATAACAAATGTTGTTGAAACCGCACACCATCTCCCAATAAATAAATAGATGTCAGATTTATACAAGGACAACATTTCCAGCCTTCATTTCACAAATGTTCCATGTAAATAATCACATCAGACAAGTACACACAAATATGTATGCTGTACTTTGCTTCTTATGTGCATATTACATGCATGGACCATCTAATATCCCAAAAAGTAACATGTTACAATCATGATAATAAGTGTTAGTTGCAGCTCTGCAATAATTTGTGCTCAACTTTGTGATATGTATAAACATGTCTTCAGATAAGTCTTCCATACTGATTTTTATTCCCTATGCTTGCATGTCCCATAAAATAACATTGGATATCCCTGTTTTCCTTCCAGAGTCTCAGGAAAGAGTGGATGAAGACACCATCAGATCCCTTCTGGTGATCCCCTCCCTCCATGCAGCTGACCGTGGTGCCTACACATGCACTGCTGTCAACTTTATCGGAAACTCCTCTGTCAGCATCCTCCTGGACGTCCACTCTCCTGCCGGCTCCCAGTCATCACTCCTCCCTGACATCCCGGCTCCACCTGCTGCGGTTGATGAAAACATCTACATTGACATCCGCATTGCCAAACAGACAGTACGCGGTATCTCCATTGAGTGGTATGCCGCCTTGGACCGACCAGCTGAAACCTGGTTCACCGTCCACTTTGGCCGGGCAGGCTCTGATAAAAAAGAAATGACCTTCATCGGCCCTGGGATTCACTCTTACACCGTCTCTGATCTGATGCCTGCTACCAAATATGAAATCTGTGTAACTCTCAAGAACCAGGCGCCGCATCCCGGCCAGTGCATTGTGTTTGTCACAGGAAGTGACATTACTGAGATGGAACAGAGGGAGAAGATGATTCACATAGTGGTGATAGTTTTAGCCATGGTGCTGGCTGTGCCTATAGGCATGTATGCCTGCACTACTGACACTAAGTTTGCCTGCCTGGAGGGTATCATGGAGTCCTGGAAGAACCGGCGGAGAGAAAGCAGCTCGTCAGGAATGGAGCGAGAGAGGCAGGGCACTTTCGACAGCCTTCAGGCCGCCAGCGACGAGGACCTGGTTAATAAAGATTCCAGTGAAAACAGGAAGGTGAGGAGGAGGTCAGATGACAGACTTCAGAAGCTCAAGGCTGATCACAGCAGACTCACAGCTGAACTATATTAAAGTACTATTTGTTAAATCAACAACTGAAAACATGAAACAGACCTTGTAATAGACCAACGTCTCACCCTGTACAGTTCTTTTTGTAAAATTGAATTGAAAATACCCCAGATCTACTGTATGATGCTGACTTTGATGGTGATTTAATTTCAATTTTCAGAAGAATGACACTACTGTCTGCCTTTGTTTTAATCTTATCTCTTCCTCTGTTCTAGGCCCAGGACTTTGTTTCAAAGATGTGAATGGTGACCGTTATGTCAAGAGTGTAATACAAGGATTTGCCGTACTGCAGTTTCTTTCTGTCTGAAATATTACATGTTTGTCTTGTTATCATGATATGTTTAAATGTCAGTTATCACACATTTTAAATTGCTACTTTATATGAAGCCTTTGTGACTGATTTAAATGGAGAAGTGCTCACAATTACTTCTGATGAGTACATTTTCTAAAATTACTTCAGTAGTAGGTGCTTACTTTATCGCCTGCTTTATGTTTATGTAATTCTGTGTTAGCTTTTTAATATTGTTTTATGTGTTTATATACTGTAGGTAATTATCAGACAAATTTCATTTTGAGTACTTTTTTGGCTTAACACTAAGGTTGACATATTGATACTGTACCATAAAACTGGATCTGGAACAAGAAAATCTCTTAAACCAGATGGTGATTATGTGAAATAATTAGATGATTGTGCACTCTGTCAATAAATAATGTTTTAATTAAATTTAGTTTAATTACGTTAAAACAGTTAATGTTACTTTTATATGTTGTTTTACTTTATTGCAAGAAGACACATCATGTAACACAATATGAAAACATTCAGTAAGAGATTTTCATTTAAAATGAAACATTGACATGTGACATCTGCCCCTTGCATAGCTCTTTTAAAGCAACATTAATACTAAAAAGACGATGAAAAAATAAATAAATAAATAAATAATACTGACGTTGAAAAAAGTTTCACTTTCAGTTTTAGTACATGGTTACCACATAACACATATGTGAATGAAATGAAATTGCTTTGTTAAATAAACTGTGTATTTTATTGTGAAACATTTTGCAATTTATTAAATGATGGGCTCACAATTTCAGTCTTAAATCAACTTTCCGGTGTCCATATGAAAGTTGAAACTGGTTTTGCTTGGTGTAATTAGTCCTTCTGTTCATACCGGCCATTAAGAGACATTCTTCCAGTGTAAGAGATGGGGACAGAAAATCCACAGTCCTCATTTTCTGCAAAAATGAGGCTTCAGTAGTTTGAGATTGTCAAATCAATTGGATAATTTGCAAAGCCACAGTGTTTTTAGCACAAAGTCCCTTATTTTGTCACAATCCTTCCTCTTCATCTCAATAAGGAAAGACAGTAGATTGTAACTTTGGAAGACACTTGATTTGACTCATATTAACAAATTAACATCATATACACATATAGGAATATATTTTTGCACATTGAAAACAGTCCAAGATGAAGAGGAGGAACAATTGCAGCAAACAAACATAGTTGCTCCTGACTAGTGATTTAAGACAGACCAGAAAAAATGTGAACCTGTCTTTTAAAGGCTTTAAAGAATCCTCAACTGTATGTCTGTTTCAACACAAGGTTACAGGACAGAATGCATTTTCATATTGTATCTTGCATATTGTACCTCACAACAGAAACCTGTGACGACTGACACTGGAAAGTTTCCCTTTCACAAAGTCCTCTGTTACCACTGAAGTGACTAAAGTCATCTGACAAAGTCTGCTTTGTATATGTGAACTGTAAATTTTCATTAACATGTGTTTAAGCCTCTCTGTACTGTACACTGTACATGTACGTCACAGTTCCTTGTCTCCCCCTTCTATGAACCCAACACACAGCAGCCATGCGTCACACATGATCAGCCCCGGACAGATGGCATATCGGATATGCCTCAGCCAATGGCATTGTTCATTTGACATAATACCCAAACGCATCCTTTCCAACATCCCCTCCTGCCATGTATGACAGAAGTTGCACGCAGTGAATAAAAAGTCTAATTTTAGCTATTTCAGTACAGAACACACATGAATTACATATTTATTTGGGCTTATCTTATTTTTCTCCTTACATATCTAATACCTAATGTTGCATAAAGCAGTGCATTATTTAAACACTACGCTATATTAACAGCTGCTGATCTCATGGGCAGCCATGTTCAAAGATCAGGAGTTATAGATTTCTTATTCAGAAGAGCAAATATTTAATTGACCTTTTAGAAACTCCACTGCTTCAAACACATACTGGGATTTATGAATCGTGTGCATTGCTTCCTTTCATTCTAAAGCATCAATGCTCTTTGCAACTTTTAACTCTCTAATCCTCTATCAAATAACTCAGTAATCCTGGCTGCCTCTTACATGGCATAATGCATGATCATTTGGGCTGCTCTTCATATTCCCTCATTTCATTTCAAGGCATTAACAGCTTGCATCACTGAAAAGTTGTTGTGTTTATGTGTGTGATAATTTTGACCTAAAATCTGGGTTTGGTTTCCTCAAGAAGTTTGCAACTGTGTAACAGTTTTTATTTTGTCAGGTAAAATAAAGAAAATCCCCAGAGTCCACTCTGCGTCATCATAACCAACCAACCCAAGGCTGCAGATAGTTTGATGCTAGTCACACACACATCTTGTCCGTCCAAACTAAATCAGGGCAGATGGACTTTTGGTTTGTAGCCAAGGACGCAATATTGTGCAAAGATGAACAAGTTGGTTTTTGGATTAGAGGCTGTAATCTGCAAATTTCATGTTTTATGTAATTTTGAAATAGTGTGCATGTTTGGTCATGATGTCTACACAAATACCCAGTGAGTGCTTCAGTGTGACTTCATAATTGGTAGTGCTCACATTGGTATTGGAGCTGAGGAGAGCAAAAAAGCTTGTATTAGGATAATATGTTACATGTTTGCTGAACATCTGGTGAGGTTTTACTAAAAACGACAGTAAACATCATATTGTTGTGTAATACGTCTCATTCTAACTCTCATAATATGCATATTCCTGTTGTTCTACATGGCTATTGTTCAGTGTTTGGATACACTGTTTTGTTCATATTGCTACATTTTTTGCAAAAGCTTAGCACATGCTAAACCAACTTCTTCCTTTGCTTTGTCAGTAGAGAGGAACAATATGATCCAGCAAAATTTCCCATAAGGCCATAAAAGCTTCAGTTTTAGTCATTGTTTTGTTTGAGGATTTGGGAACAGTGATGTCTTTCACCAAAGGGCTGTGGTCAAGCAGCTTATTCTCTGTCTCCAGAAGGGGGCAGTAGAGTAAATTTGCAAGCTCATTAAGGAGGTGTTTACCTTACGCTAATGGAAAAACTGAGCTTTCTAAATGTGTTTCACAGAGCTTCCACGGCTACAGTGTAATGCTCTGACTGTCCTGGACTTATGACCAGGTAGGCCACACTGTCCCACTGGCAGCCTGAATATCTGCAGAAACAACTGAGTGAGTTAAAAATCAAAAACATGTTTCAAAAGCCATAATTTCTCTACTTGCTGTTGTCAATTAATCCAACAGTATATTCATCTAACATTGAAATTGAGGGAGTAAGTAACCAGGTACATCTAGTCAAGTACTGCACTTCAGTAAAATTTGAAGGAACTTAACATGAGTAATACATGAGAATTAAAATTTTACGCTACTTAAAAGTCATACTCAGTCAGTCACATTCAGTTTATGATTTTACTTAATACTTTACCTACTGTGCCTCATCAATGCAGGACTATTGTAATGGAGTATTTTCATAGCGTGATGTTGCTACTGTTACCTGAGAAAAAGGATCTAAATGCTTCTACCACTGTTGAAATTACAAATGATGTTCTTTTATTGGTAGTAAGAACATAACATGTGTTTTGACAAAAAAAACATCAAATAAAACAGATAAACCATCATATACAGTAGTAAACAAACGAAATGCAGTCCTTTAAATCAGAAAATAAACATCTTCGTGACTTTTGCAAAACAGGGCTCTAAACAGCGCTTTACACCTTTGCAGTAGGATTAAAGGTCTTCCTAACATGATCTCTTTGGTTCACTTCCCCCAGGCTGATCTCTTTAGTCAGTTCAAGTGTCATGAAATCTCTTGTAAGGAGCTTGGTTGGATCCCAAATAAACAGTCGTGCTTGTTGAAATCTGAATGACTTAATTCCCAACAAGGGATCTGGGTTGAGGAACTTTAAGCCACAAGTGTGTCAACAAATGGTTCAAAAGGTGGGAATTATCTGTTACAAAACAACAACGAAACATTAAGCAGAAACAAATAATGAATGGTGAATTGAAAACGTGATCTGAATGATGATACACATGATGAAATTTTTCCCCCCATCTCATGAAAATGACATACACAAGGAATAAAGCTGTTAACTGTTTCAGTGTATTTAATCTTTCTGAAACACACACACACCTACCTACACACACACACACACACACACACACACACACACACACACACACACACACACACACACCTACACACACACACACACACACACACAGCAATATGAAAGATTGAGTTTTATCGTTCTTTGCGTTGGAAACACCAGTCGACCCAACAGTCCATTTAGCGGCTATTCTGGAGCTTTTGATCACATCAGATATGTAGATTTAAAAGTCTATTTGGCCACATGGATGAGAAGACCTTAAAGTTCTGTGAGAAAGTGGAAATCTGAACGTCTACATTTCCATGACAACTGGGCCGACTGGATCTGCTGATTAAGATCATGAAAGCTCCAGGACTGCTACTTAATGGACCTTGAGGTGAGATTGTTTTGTCAAGCACTATTGATGTTTCAGCAACCTCTTCTGCTCCAGTTTCATCTTGAGCTCCGAAACCAAAGCATTTTTCACAGTGTCCTGTCTGGTCATCACTGACTTCTTTTTAGGTTTGGGGGCTACTGTCGCTGAGACAGTGGGTACTGACCACTGCCTCTCCCCTGGCATGTAGGGTGGTGGTGGAGGGGGCAGAGATGGGGCGCAAGGTGGTGGAGGTGTCCAGAGTCTTACAACATTGCTGACATTGTTGTTGTAGTTGACGTTCTCCACAATGACCTCTGGCTCCTGCTCTTCCTCTTGTACTTTGAATTTCTCTCCGGGAGTTTCTGGTTTGTTGAAGGGGTTTTTGAAGTTCCAGGTGCGCTGATTTCGTGGCCTCCTTCTTATGCGGCGGTTAGGCAGAATCCGGTTGGACTTTTTGTTGCGCATGAATGTTGCAGTGGAGATGATGACTGTGACTATGACCATGAGAATAATGACACCAGCAAGCATGCCTATGATTTGCAAAGGCTTGTTTCTACTCTGCATCAAAAATGATCCCAAAGGCCCCCCACTGAGTTGGGTCTGTAAAAGAGCACAGGGAAAATTCACATCCATGGGACTGAAGTCATAGTCTGTCACACAAAGAGTAACTTATACAATATTGTCCCGTGCTTGTATTGTAGTACTGCATGTATTCATCGTTTGGCCAAAAATATCATGTGAGGTGCAAAATACAAAACTGTAAAATCCAGAAATAAATTACTGCAAATGTACTGCCATAATACTGTTTGTATAAAAACAAAACATTTGTTTGTTTCCTGGTGGATGCCTTACAAATGAAACATACTACAAATGATGATTAGACTTTAATTCATTGTTCTACTGTTTTATAGTTTGTCAAGACAAGATCAGAGAGGTTGACTAGGAAACCAATAGCTGAGACCATCCAGCATCTGTGACCAGAAATAATTTGTTTATTTTTGTTGTGGTGTCATAATGTGAAAACTAAATCAATACATGACAAAAAAAACATGGGAACATGTTGAAAGGACCGTTGATATTGTGCTCCTGTGCTCTTTTACAGACACATGCTTGTTCTACGACCAAATCATTTCAAAATGAATTGCTACAAAGAGAAAAAACAGTTCTGCTGATGATCTCAAGGCAAGCTTCATTTATGGCAGAGGCCTCCTTATAATCTTTCTGATCTTGCCCTGAGCTTTGACACGGGACTTTTTCACAGAGTTCCAGTATATAAGAGTTGAAATGAAGATTGTCAGTGAAATGGCGAAGATGACAATGGTCAAACAAATCCCAAACACAGCCCCTGGACGTTTCCTTAGGCCCAAGAAGTAAGAGAAAAATCTGGATTTGACCTGAAAACATGACAATTGCATTTATGTGAGATTTTTTTATGACAATTTTCTAATTGCTACCTAAGCAAACAACTGATAGGTGTTATTTTGCATAGAAGCTGCACCTACACACACAAATTTATAGATGTTTCAACACTTAATCTAAATAAAAAATGATAGTGGGGAATGATTAAACAGTTAAGTAGACCACTTGTTATTTGCAGTGGTAAATGTAAGTAAGATTTAGGGCTCGCATTACAAATAATTGATAATTGCTCACTGTGAATGTAGAGACAAAGACCATTCACTATATCCATTGCAGAGCAGGTTCCCTCTTTATGTTCTAGGCTACAGTACAGTTTTTACACAACATTTTAGTATAAAGTATAAGATGTCAATTTCTATTGAATATTAACGATTTCTAAAATACAGTTCGATTGAAATTTGGTGGTGCGAATAAGTTACACCCAGCTTTGTTATATAGAAAAGCATAACTGCTACAATTTTCTATAAAACACTCAGAACCTGTAGCTACAACTAGAATGACATGTGAGTAGTATATATTTGAAATGATGATCTTATTTGTTGAATTTGACAAAACAATGCGTGTTGGATTAGAATCTCTGACCCCACCTTTAACTGACATATTGCTATTCATATACTTTGTTTTTAACTTACAGCTTCAGTGATGTCGATCTTGATGACTGCGGTGGTGCTGAAGGAAGGCTGGCCTCGGTCCCGGGCCTGGACCACGAGTGACCAGGAGCAGTCTCTCTGCTTGGTGATGTTCTGAATGATGGCCATTGACTTGATGTAAGACTTGAGCATGATCTCCCCTGTGTCAGTGTTAATGTCGAAGATGTTGTTGTCTGGCTCAGCTTTCATGATGGCATACTCGATAACATTATTGGGTACTTCTGCATCTTTATCTACTGCCTGTGTAGAAGTAAATGTATTTATTAAAAAAAGGAGTGGAACTTATGTTATTCTTGAGTTTCACTTTATCTGACATAGTACATCACGAAAGAACAAATACCTCTACTTTCACTGGTGCTCCAATCACCATAGTTGTCTCGAGGAAGTTTTCATTGAATGCAGGTGGGTGGTCATTCAGGTCCAACACAGTCACAAAGACCTCAGCCAGGCTGTACTTCCCTTCTGCATCCTCTGCCTTCACGTAGAAGTTATACTTGGACCTCACCTCCGCATCCAGGCTCGCCCACGGCTGGGTGTAGATGATCCCAGATGCAGACTGGATCAAGAACCTGTAAATGGTAATATGATTTGGGCAATATCTTGAATGTTTTATACTATACTTACTGATTTAAATGTTGTATTTTGTTTGTTTCGTCTGTTCATACAAAGAAATGTAAAAAACCTTTATGGGGAGTTACTTGTGGAACATGTGAAAATGCTGTACATATGTAGCATAGTAGCCTGACAGATAAAATCTTGTTTATCAAAATAGTTACAGCACCCAATTCCTCCTAAAATCACATATTGACATTTTTAGATTTCTGTGAATAAACAAGATACAACAAGTTAATAGTAAAAATAATGAGGTTCAGGGCAGACTTTTTTTTTTTTTTACTTTGGAGAGAGGCAGGCTAGTTGTTTCCTCCTGATTCCATCTTTATGCTAAGCTAGGTTAATCACCTCCTAGCTCTAGCGCCATACCTAACACATACACATGAGCATGTCGATCTTCACATCTAACTCAAGCGTGGAAAAGTGGTATTATATTGTTTCACTGATGGACTTGTTTAGTTACCCTACAGTGACTTTGTCAAAGTGCAAAGAGCGCAGTCTATTTCCTCCTCAAATCCCATTAGTGGATTAACAAAGACAGAGGGCGACAAGGCAAAGATCAGGATCGTGATCTTCATCCAAGAAGAAAAAGAAATAAAAAATGCTAAATCTTTCTAGACGCAGAACCAAGAAACGTAGCCATGTATTGCTTCATTACAAATTTTAAGTTCAAAGAGGCATATTGGAGTAATCTGAGGTGAAAACACTTTCCAAATGGTTTTAACCAAACAAGTAGCCTATGCACTAAGATATAAGTACTAGAAACCTCTCTCCCCTGCTTATTTTGAAAATCCTTCTCCTGCATGCCATGTGACTTTGTATATCTCCCCTAATTCATTGCTATAGAGCTCAAAATCTGTACTGAGAGGTCCAAAAATATCTACCCACCTACAGTTCATCGTACAAAGCAAACAGATTATTGAGAAGTCGGTCTGTTTACATTGACACTGAACATTACAGGTTCATGATTCCTTTGCTTTACTCTTCTAAATGCTTCCAAATTCAGGTATTTTGGTCCTCTAAGGCATGCAGAATGTGATTGAAAAAGCAAACAATTTTCCAAATAATTACAGTACTGAATGCACAGTGTTGAGATTTGTTAGGCACGCAGGTCATCTTTAGGAATGAATCTGTACCAATGTGAAAGTAAAGGCAAGCTGTGGGTATGTTGTGTGTTATTCTCACTAAGAGAGGACAGTGACCACTGAGCCTTTTTCTCTGAAGTTAGATTTCTACTGGAATATGTAATAAAAATCGAGTACCAGCAAATCCTCTGAGGGACTACACAGTGCTTAGGGTGCAATAAACTGAACTAAGTCCTAATATGAAAAACAAGTCTGCTGTCATAGTTTTGTCCAGCCTTCAAGCAGATGTGTTTTTGCTGTATGTGTTCTTCACATGCAGTAGTACAGTGGTCTAAAATTAAAATACAACATTTAAGCTCCGATCAGTCATTTTATTCCGCTATTTTTATAGCGGAATAAATTTAAAAGTGTGCCTTAGATGTTTTTCGTTATGAATAGGGTGGTCAGTTTTTTGACTGTTTACAAATACACAGGGTATCAACTGTTAATATTGATGTATAAGCAAAAACACTGACATAATCATCACACAAGGAACAATAAATAGACGCAGGACAATCTATAATAGATTTAGTTTTCTTGTGCAGGATATAAAACGAATTCTTGCCTCTGGAAGGATTTAGATTTTAAATGTCTTATTTTAACATCAAGATAATGCTGTTCAAGCATTGATACCTAAATGTCTGTCATTGAAGGTGTGGAGGTGTATTGGCATTGTGGTTGAGATATTAAAGCCAGATATTTAGATAGAATAATAGTGTCATGTGGGTGAGAGGAATTTAAAGTCTTTCTGTTTATATTTTAATACTCACAATTCAGCCCCAGATCCGTAGATAGAGTACTTCACTTCACCCCAAGGGCCTGAGTCTGGGTCGGTTGCCTGTAGAAAAAAACAGAAAACACAGAATATGTATGAAAACAATATGAGATTGGTTGTGGCACTTGACCAATATTGTGTGTGATTTCTGTTTAACTCTGATAAAGCTCAGAATATTGATGTTAGATTTGTTTGTATCTCTTTCCTAAACTGAATGTGCAGACTGTCTGCCGCCATGGACTCAGTCTCTGTGCTGGGCTGGAACATGATGTTACAGGGGTAAGCTATAAAAAGACCGATTTTTGATGTCACAGGACCATCATCATGGGCATCAGCTAATCTGTCTGTCTGTCGCTGCAGGGATGACTTTTCGCTATCTCCATGTGTCCAAGGTCACTTTTTGGCTGTTCTTTTATCTGATTGAAATTGCCTGGGATCAAGGAAATGAGCCTCTGTGGTGTTCACGCAAGGGCAGGATTTATTAGTGAGGCTCCCTGTTGCTTTGAGCCTCTGCAGGGTGCTGATATGAACTGACAAGGGCGAAGGATGAGATAACCCTATCTATCTATCTATCTATCTATCTATCTATCTATCTATCTATCTATCTATCTATCTATCTATCTATCTATCTATCTATCTATCTATCTATCTATCTATCATTTTTAAACTAAATGGCCCTGAAAACCCAACATGTCCTTAAAAGTATTCATTTTATTTCTGCACATATTTTTGTGCTGCAGCTGCATGTGCTACTAAGCATTAGGAGAAAAAATCTGAGAATTTGGTGTTACACAACAAAATGAAAGTGATAGCCATCTGGCAGCTTACCTCGCCTAGCTTTTATCTACATGTTTTCACATATTATCCCAAACCCCTCTGCCCAAAAACTCTACATTTAGGGAATTAATGGCCCTCTTGGGCATTTTGTTCAAATCAGCATTCCTCTTTAGCTCAGAGTGACGTACATTGGTGATGGCATGTATTTTTAGACAGGATGAAGACTCGCTCACCGTGACTGACACCACATTGGAGCCACCGGGTGAGTTTTCTGGAATTCTGGCAATGTAGAAGTCTGAGGAGAATTTGGGAGCGTTGTCGTTGGTGTCCAGGAGATGAACGACTATGTCAGCTGTGGCACTGAATCTCTCAGGCGTATCAATCTCAACTGCGAGTAGCTAAAGAGGAGAAAGGTTAGAAATAAATCACTGAAAAGGAGCAACGTACAACAGCTGCAGGTGATATTTCTGCCATTCGAGAAATGTGTGCATTTGATATATTTCATCCCATTTCAATCTACTGCGGTGCATTGGGTTAACCTTGTATGTGAGAAAATGATGTTTCTCATAGTCCATAGCAGCGGAGTCTTCTACTAAGATGGTGACTTGGGCCTCATTGAGTACAGTCTGAGGGACGACTCGCAGCATCCTTCCAGGTCCAATCAGTCTCAGGTTGAATTTAGCGTTAGCACCCTGCAAGAGGACACCATACATCATCGTGTTATTCACAATGTCTCATAAGTGAAAATGGCCGAGTTGTACATGCATGGAACTATTTATAGTAATCTGCATTTGTTACATAGCTATCACTAACAAACAGACATACAGCATAATCCATGTAGGGTATAGTCCATCCAATCAATGTAAAAGCTTTGTGTCTTTTCATTATTATGGTAATGTATGAGAAATCAATAGGATATCAGTACCAGCAGTAATATTCTTGCTGAAACATAATATCACTGGACAAAGAAAGCTCGCCCTGATGTAACAGTATTAATGCATTTGGTGAACACCAGCCATTTGGATGAGGCTCATACAAGAAACCCACAGAGACTTGCATAAGCTGACAAATGACATAGTCAGGGAGCACCTTTTAATTTGTGTTGGCTTATTTTCCAAATTCATGCAACTTTAAAAGGATTGTCTGTGATAATGGCAAGATTAAAGTAATTTCATAGACAGAAAGGCAGACACCAGCCTGACTTCTATGTTGCGGTACAATGAATGTTGATCAAATCAGTTTAATTTGGTCAGAGTGTTATTACATAATAACAGTCACTGTTATTCTCTCCTGGCTAACTGAGGCAGCTTTCAAAGGCAATAATATTGTATCAGTGCTAAGAGATGATACTTGATCAGTGAAATATCACTGAAAATAACAGTTGTCTGTAATTTCTTTGAATCATTTTCATACTAATCACAGTCAGTGTATGAGAAAAAATGGACAACAATAATGGTCTCACCTGGTCGGAGTCCTTGACTGTGATTTTCAGCCCCCGGAGTATCTCTCCCTCTGGTGGATGCTCATACATGGTCAACTCAAACATGTTCTGCGGGCCGTTTTCTCCATAGAAAGTTGGTGGATTATTGTTAAGGTCCACTACACGGATCACCACCGTGGTCACCCCATAGTCCAGGATTCTGCCTTCAGGACTTACTTCTGATGCCTGGACACAGGGGGGTTAAAGTTATGCAGCTCAGCCCACATGTATTGCTTCAGTCAGTAGATGAGCGTGTGGGGTATTTTATCAACCAGTTTCGCCAGATCAGTCTTGCTTTGTGAATTTTACTTCACACACCAGTTTAAAATGTTCAGTCATTTGCTGTGATTTCATTTGCTTTGTCATCGCATATAAATTCCTATTTTTATCTGAGTAGATTGTTTGATCCATTGTTTATTCTCTTTATGAATACACTGTAACAATGACTAAGGTCTATACAATGTCACTTACACTGTGTAATCTTTCATGCAGATGAAACAAGTTATTGACTGTAAAACAGAACAGATAGCATCTTACCTTGACTTTAATGTTAAAGATTTCTCTCTTCAGATAAATGGGTTGAGTCAGCAGGGTGATACAACCGCTTGTTTTATTGATGCTAAAAACACCATCGTCCCCTGTCGAGACCAGAAAGAGACAGAAATATGAGCACCCTTTGCTTCATTTTAAAATCATTTCAGTCTCATTTAAGTGAAATATTTACCTTCGTCAAAGGAATAACGGATTGGATTTGGGTTTCCCACATCGCCATCTTTGGCTACAACTGTGAATATTTCAGATCCCTGTGGTAAAAGATCATCAGAAAGGTTTTGCTGTCAAATCAATAGTGATATAAATTGAAGATAACCAGGATGCATGACCTGCTACAAAGGTGGCTTACTGTAAAATATATTATATAGTTATTTCACATTTCTCCAATAATTGATACTTTATTTATTTAAATAATTAGACCTGTATTCAATTCCCACTGTGACACATCCACCAATGTGTCCCTGAGCAAGCTCCAAAGGTGTGCGACCTCTGAAATATGTAACAATTGTAAGTTGCTTTGGATAAAAGCATCAGCAAAATTAATGTAATAATTTTTTGTACAAATTAACAACTCTAATATGTCCCTTTTAACATGATGATCAGTATGTTGTTGAATCACAATCACAAAATGAAGCATGAATTTTAATTGAGTCACCCTGTGGCTGGTACACACCTAGTCAAAACGTACCACAACAATCTATTCAGCACCTGATCTTCACTGAGCCTTCAAAGGTACATTGAAATGTCACGATCCTAATTATTCCTTCTCGGATGAAAGTCAGAATGTGTAATCTCTCTCCCATGACGCCCTGCTGCAGTGACATTTGACTGGGGAGATAATGTGGCTTTCACATCACTGTAAAATGCCAGCAATTAAAGCTGTGTCATATGAGATAATGCTACCTTAGGTTTTTGATCTTTTGTTGGTCCTTATTTATACAGTGAATACTGAAATAAATTGCATTCAGTATGTTAGGTTACAATGTCTTGCTATGCTGTGATAATTCATTTGATGTTCACTAAAGAAGACAGTGTAAATTTATTGCAATGCAGAATAAACGTGACAAAAATATAATAAGATAATAAAAGATAATAATAAAATAAAAAGATAATAAGAATTTCATAAAAAGTTTAAAAACTTTTTAGCTATGAATTGTTATACAAACTGTGTTAAATGGTACAGTCAAAGAATATCACTGAAGGATGTTTTCATACTTACTGGAACTGAGACTTCATAAACGTAGCCAAAATACGGTGTCCCAATAAAAGATGGCGGAGTGTCCTGTGCATCGATCACATTGATCGTCAGTGTCGCAGAGGATGACATAAACTGCTCCTTGCCATTAAAATTACCACCACCATCCTGGAACAAAAGTAGCATGCAGTTTAAATCTACTTTTATTGTAATTTTGTTTGATAATTTTCTGTTTCTGTTTTGTATTGTTTATAATAAAAAATACAACTTTTACATTAATGTTAAAGTTTTCATTTTAGGTTTATTAGAAGAATTTTACTGCTGGAAAGGACATGAAATCTCAGTTTCCCACCATACGCCATAGCTCACCTTTTAAGGGATATATACAGAGTTCTTTTTATTTTAATAAAGCACTTAAAGGTGCTTTAGTTTTGTTGTAAACTAATGAATACATGTAACATTCAGTGTCGCTGAAGGTAAACATTAGCAAAGCCAATTTTCTTTTTCAGTTTTCTTCTTCTTCTTCTTCTTCTTCTGTTGGCACATTGATACATTTCTTGGTGCAATACCACCACCAGCACTAAACCTCCACAGGGTGCATCTTTAAATTGAAAATGAAAGTACACTATTGCTCAATGGAAACATTATGTGAGTTTTGATACATCCATTACCTTTGCAAAGACAGTAACAAAGTGTGTCTTTGTTTTCTCATAGTCCAACATTTCTCCTGATTTGATACGAAGGACACCACTGTGTCTGTCGATGGCAAACAAAGTGGACTGAGGATTCTGTAACAGAGAACAGGACAAAAGCAGGATTTTAAAGGCACACACAGAAACACATTTCAGGTCACATGAGCAAAAGCCTGTTGCTGAAACCCCCTAAACCCCATTTACAACCACTCACGTGAGAGATATCATGAAAAATGGTCAGATGGCTGCATAAAAACACACAGTAGCCACTTGAATTAGGCCACATCTTGTATAAAGTATATCTCTTTGTCCATCTGGATGTAAAGAGCCCATATGGTCAAGGACAGGGCAGGCAGGTGAAAGCTGCTGTGTCCAGATGTGCACTGCCTCACTCGTCACTGTCACTCCAGGCCAGCTGTGTGCTTTAGTCCTAATAGTCCAAAGTGCAAACACTCTCTGCCACCCCCTGCCAAAGCAGCCCTCTAAGCCTCCAATACCTGACACAAATGTAATTGTGATTTAATCCCCATTCTCTACACCAGCATATTCAGGCACACATGCACAAACACACACATGGACATTGGGAAATTTATGTGACATTAACCTTGTGGCCAGTACATCTATACATTATTTCACATGTCACATGCAGATTAACATTAACTCAGCTAGAGTTTCATATTAGGAGCATTTTAAAAATGTTTTGTCTGTTCTTATTTCATAGTTACATACTGTATTCATTTATTGCAGAAGTCAGAGTGAGCGGGATGTGAGTATGCATATTCTCCCACTGCCGAGTCATACCTGGAGGTAGTAGGTGACTGAGCCACCTGATCCTGTGTCTCTGTCCACTGCCTCGACTTTGTAGATGCTGCTGCCAGACTGAGTGGTCTAAAATGTGCAACATAATAATAATAATAATAATAATAATAATAATAATAATAATAATAATAATAATAATAATAATAATAATAATAATAATAATAATAATAATAATTCAGGGCCCAGCATATGGCTTAAAAATAAATGACGTTCATAAAGCATACACTTAAGCCTAACTTACTTCCAGTACATCAATGATTGCTGGCATGTTTTGGAATTCAGGCTTTTCATCGTTTGCATCCATTACAAATATTGTAACTCTTTCCACGACCTAAGAAAAAAAACCCACATGAAACATGTTAAAATTTATTTTAGTTTGATTCGTTATTAGGGATGGCATTAAATGGTATAATCACACATTGGACTAGATGTTGGTACCTTGCTTTGCCCATCTGTGATACTGACAAGAACGTCAATAGAATCCTTTTTCTGAGCAGAGAAGGAAAACAAGTTCATTTGAAGACACACAAGATGAAAGAAAAGTTAGTTATTAAGGATTATATATTAAAGTTTAAAGTTAAATTTAATAAATATTTTCTAGCCTAATATCTTCTGAGGGCTATGTTAGGTTTACCTCTCTGTCGAGCTGTTCCACCAATGTGATGTTTCCAGATATGGGGTCAATCCTGAAGTATTCTTTTGACCCTGGATCAAAGGAAAGGCCATATCTCACCTCCTGGCCTTCAGGGTCTGTGCCATTGAGACAATAGATCTGTGTACCTAAAGAAGACATTATACTATAGTCAAAATAGCCTCAGCTGTTGACTGATTCAAATGTATTTAAAGAAAAACATACTACATTTAAGAATAAAAGAACACTTAATAAAACTGGTTCCAAATGCAAAATTAACCAGCAGTCAAGGAGAGTAGTTAACCCATTGATTGGGCAAAACTGCTGTGGAACAAACTAGGCTGAGACACTGCAGTATAATGAGTACCCTGACTGATGGAAGGTGTACAGGGACAGCTGCACCACATTCACAGCCAACAAACTGTCCCCCACATCAACAGGTGGCACCAGCAGATGAGCATGAGGGTGTGAGTGCGTACATGCCACACAACATCTGGTCATCTATCAAAGACTATTTAACATCCTGCACTCTCTGATACTGGCAACCAAAACATGCCATTTTGTTGATTGGTTGCCCCACCAGCCTATTAGCTGTTCACACTAAACGTCCTGTATGTCAGAGGTTGATCTCACCAACAGCCGTGTCCTCTGAGAGACTGAACAGTGCCAGGTTCCCGTTGTGGCTGTAGGGTCCATTGTCATAGAAATAAGGGGCATAGTCTGCTTGTGCTGAGGACAGAGACATAAAAACATCATTAAATGCTTGAAAGTTTAATGTAATTCAGCTTCAAGTGAGAATACGTAACTTTTAAATGAAGAAATAACACAATCTTCCTCTTAATAATAATGAATTCACAGATTATAAAACACACACTCAAGTTTTACTGGGTCTGATATGATCGGTAGCTTATGGTGGCTAATGTTTGCTAATGTTAGCAAACTTAAGCTTGATACTTCTGTTTGAAAACTTTAAGACATTATGACTCTTTTGCTACTGTTACACTATGTTTTAGTATTTACTGCGCATACGCCACTGCTTTCCCAGTCACTTTGCCTGGGATTACTGGGGAGTTACGTCAACCTGCTAAAATATCTTTTCTATACATAGACCTGAGATGTCTGGTAGCAAATAAATGCTGTTTTTATTTGTAACATCACATTAATCTGAATACAGTTTTTTTTAGCTATATGAGTGTCACATGACCTTTGAAACCACATTCATAAATCAAAACAATCAATCAATATGACTCACGCACACCTTTAAGAGCAACTTATTAGGTTAGGCAAGAGCATGAATTAATTGAAAACAGAATAAAATTCATCATCTGGGGAAAAAAATGCAATCATCAGCCTGGAGGCTATCAAATGTATCTGAACAGCATTCATAATCTGATCACAACAACACTTCAACTGTAAGCAGAGAATTTTAACTTACCAAAACAGGCATGCACAAACACAAAAAGCAGTGGCAAATGTAATATCTTTACATTCTTCATCCTAAAGAATCAAGTCATGAAAGCGCACCATGAAGACGGCTCCGTCGAGAGTCCTGTACATGAGATGTTGTTCTCAAGTTGTTTGTGCGTGACTGGGTAAGGCTAAATCAGATGCTCATATCCTAATCCAATGACACAACTTAAGAGTTACACCTGGGCCGTCTCAGTGCAACTGTGAGTCTTCAGCCACCAATCCACAGGAGACGGCTCTGATAAAACAAAGATATAGATATACCACAATTTAGATGATGCACAGGTATATTTTTCACATTCTCTCTTATTGATGCTGAGCAACATTTTTGGTTTGCCACAACTACTAAATAAATATAATGTACATGCCTTTGTCTGGATATTTATTGTCTTTACAAATTATATTTTGCTTGTGTTAACATTTGGACTGTGTTATTGTATTAACAGCCACAAAGTCTGTACTGAAATGTAACTATTAGAAAATGCTGATCGTTTTTTTGCCCATGTTGTATAAAATTCCATTTCCTGTGCACTCCACAACTATCTATTGTATAAGGAAAAAGAAAAACACACTCCACTACTTACTCAATTAATAGAATAATCATTTAACAGAGGCTGATGGAGATGACAGCAGTGAATAATCTGATGAGATTGTAGTTCATGTTTGGTTGTTATGGTAGAAATCACAAAGTGAAAGTGTGGCCTAATGACATAAACTGAGAAATCTAAATAAATGATGAAAACAAACAAGGAAGGATGACATTTTTGCTGTATCAGAAGGTGTGAGTTTTATTTTACATGCAAGCATTGTTTTATGTTGGATTGTATCTTTCTTTCTTTCTTTCTTTTCATGTTCACTATGTCATAGGTGTCTCTTTAATTAAGAACCCCAGCGATTCACTTTTTGAGTGGTATTTTGGGCATTGAAGCTGGTTAATCTTCTTGTTTGACAATCGTGTTTGTTACCCAGAGGTAAACTCTTGGAAACAGATACCATAAAAAATAAAATTAAAAAGTAGTGATTTTTTGCCATTTTTATTGAAAAAGCAATATTGCAAGTACATAAACAAAAACAATTGTATGGTGCCTATACACACCGTTAAAACATGTTGCATGCAAGGGGATTTACACAAATTAATAAACCTTTTACAGTCCTTTCTCATATGGAAATTGAATCTGCTTTATAATCTGAGTGGTGCTGGAAGAATGCACAGTATTTAGGCTGCTTGGTGCACGAACTGTGCTTTCAGAAGATGGTAAATGTACTGTACTTATATAGTGCCTTTCTGGTCTTTCGACTACTCAAAGCTTTTTACAATACATGTCACATTCACCCCATTCACACATATTCATTGAGTGATGGCAGCAGATGACTGCTCTACCCCCTGAGCCACAGCCGCCCCACACTATAAAGAAGTGTGCTGCACATTTATGTCTGATGGAGGCAGCATTTGATGTGGATTACTGTTGTCAATAGAAAAGGCCAGACCTGCGACACACATAGAGAATGGAAACCACCAACATTAATTTTCAGTAAAATCTGTGTATGATTCGGGTGGCAAAGATTCAAAGGCATGTCAATGGCTTTCATGCTCTTTAAACCAGAGAATGCATAACTTTCACACAATGGCCACACATATTAACTAGAGAAGATCACCTGTCACTTCTGTATGTTGCTGGCCGAGGCTTCAGTTTTAATTCTCATGGCTCTGGCAGATGGCAGTAAAGATTAACCCACTGTGCTCTAATCTCTCCTCATCTTGTAATGCACAGTGCCTGCCTGTGGTCACATAGGCTCCATCAGACATAAATGTAAAGCACAATTAGCATGTATGCACGCACACAACACGCAAAACAACTAGCCACAGAGTTGACCGATGGACGTTGTGAACATACAGTGTGGAACACTATGTAAGTTCACAAATCTGCCATCATCTGTCATAGCAAACCACTACCTTTGTTTGTTTAAACCTTTAGATGTGGGTCAGAGCATGCCTTTCACAGAAGCTTATACAGGAAAGTTTCATTGTAATGATCACTGTTAAAAACCATATGGATAAAAGCTCACCGCTCATCTGTAGTCATCTTCTTAGTTTCTAATCCCAAGCCTTCAATCACAGCTGCACATGTTGACGTCTTTGTTCCTTTTAGGGACAGAGCCATTAGGCTGCCCATAGGGAAATTTCAGGGAAATGCTTTTCACTTTGTCATGTGGATTACTGTTGTTACTGTAATAGAGGCCAAAGCTGCATCTAAACAGACTCAGTGTATCCTGAAATATTTGTATCAGTAAAAATCAGCCACTGACATGACAATATACAATCTCAAATCATGTTGTGCCATGACCAGATGGGCCACTTCAGTCACAGTCCTGGTACCATTGAAGGGTTTAGCATCCACATGAAAACAAACAGAATTGAGCAATTTTTTTTTTCATAAGACGTAAAGATAAAGAAAAGAGCAGAGGTCATCTTTCTCTGGGTCTAAAACACATCAAGGAACTTCTGTTGAAATATCAACCATCTTTACTTTCTTATTATCCCACTTTATTACTATTTTTTATTATTTATCTCAGGGTCCTATGTGAAGCACATTGCATTATCCTGTGTATGAAATGTGCTTCATTTTTGTGCAAGAACTAGTGTGATTTAAATTTTAAGGAAGCGTTAGGGTTATGCTTTCAATATATTTTATCTTCAAATGAGATGGAATTCTTATGAGAAGGAGAAAATGTTTTCCTCGGCAACATTTGGATTTGCTGTGTACATTATGATTACTTTATGTGGCTGAAGTTTAGAGCACGTTTTTGGCCATTTATCAAGATGTGATGTTGACAGAGAGAGAGCAGCAAGTAGAATTAGTTTGGCTTCTGTCCTGTACATGTCTCTGAAACGTGAGGGTGCATAAAATAAACACGCAGACTACCAAATAACAGACTAAGACGTCAAGAACATTTTGGATTACAAGAATCCCCCAAATACACCCATCATACACATTGAAAGTATCATTATATCAAACATTAATCAGTCCCATATCTCTATTACCTGAATAATAAGCAATGTAGTCTCCAGCAGTTTGCATAGTGTCAGTGTTCTTTTTGAGCAATATAAACAAAATACTGTCTTTGTAAATCCTTGTTTTCCCCCCCTATTTTTAAGAAATACTTAAAAATTAAATTACAGTGCTTACTTGGAAAATTAGATGTACCCCAAAATAGAAAGGGAAACTTTGAATAATTTGTAGCCTACAGTACTTGTGTCACTACAGGATCACTGGTCTACTTGTTGTCAATATACCCAATTCAGCTTTACCATTTTGGATTATTATTAATAATCTCTAGTGTGGTTTGCCAAGGGCAGAGGTTTGCTTTTAGTCCTGGTCCACTCTAAAACTAGGTCACTCCTTTAATCTCTCCATGTAGTATACTGTAGGTTAACAGCCTTTTCATTTTATAAACCTCAGAGAGTGCTAGTAGAGTGAATGAACAAAGTCATTAATCATGCAAAACCCTAAAATATAGCAGCAAGTCTGTTGAGATGCTACGATAAGTTATGAATGTGATGGTCCTGTATTATGGGTCATACTAAGATTTCCACAAAACCTTGAGGCCTTAGTGGCTGCCACTGGAGCCTCAGCAACTTGCAAGATTAACATTACAGAAATAAAAAAACAGCATGCCTGCAACAGTAAAATAAATGTGTGGAAATGCACATAAAACACATAAAGACAATTATATTAAAGTAATGTTAAAATGTGTGTAGGAAACCAAATCTAAGAAGTGATTTTGCATTCATACAAATGTAAAAACTTAAACCCCTCCAGAAAATAATGTTTAATGGTAGGCTATATTAAACTATCCTTTAGTTAAAAACAAAGCAAAACTCAAAATATTGGAGAACAAACAAGCAAACAAAATGTACTTCCTATTGTCCAAAAATTACACAATACAACTTGTAAAAATAAAGGGCATGGAATATTTTGCGCAGGTGAACTGTAGGTGTACTGCTGGATATCATGTTGGTCACTGGTGCTAAAACTAAGCCTGTGCTCTGGCAAGACAGCCCCTCTTTGATACACTGCTTCAGTACTTATTTTACACTGCTGCCTCCAAGTGGTAAAACACTGGTGGTGGACAATAGATGTAAAATAAACTTTTTGACTTTTTCTTATTGTAGAAAGGTATTTATTAATCTATAATTGACTTGTCATAGTAGAAAGCACAGGTAATAAAACCTGTTATGTAATACTATCTGCAGTATCTATCTTCATCTTTCTAAATATATATTTATCTTTCTCACTATGTTAATTGTTAAGCACCAAAACACCAAAGCAAATTCCTTGTATGTGTTAACCTACTGGTCAATTACTTGCCTAGTTGTTAACCTACTTGTCTGATTCTAATTCTGTAGTAAGCCCTGACAGTGTGACAGGGAGCCAATACCAGGACCTTGAAACTGAAGAAGCAAAATTAAATTCAGCTGTGAGTCATTTTATCATTTACAACTGTGCTTTTGTGACATGTCACAATGTCTGCAGTGAAAAAGGCCTATAAGGGCTGGCAGTATATACATGATAAAAAATATGAACCAAATTAAAGAACTTCAAGGCTGTTCAAAACAGAGTGCTACAGGAGCAGTGCACATTTCTGAAATAGCTGGTGTGCAATGTGAAACAGTTCACAAGTGTCCTTCAAATTCAAGGAATGTCTGTGGTGATGGGGTGATGATAGAAAGGTGCTGCTGTTTGACCTGCAGACACTGAGAGGAAAGTGACTGGATCTACAGTCTCTAAGGCCTCTTTTTCCAAGGATGGAAGGATGAAGTTACAAAGTGAAAAGCAAAGGATGTTGAGAACAAGATCAACATGTGCATTTATTTCCAACTTTAATAGCTCTCATACATTTATGTCTTGCCAACAAAACAGGCCTACATTGATTGCAGTAAAGCACGTTGTTATACAAATAAGGCTAGTACTATTTAGTATAGGCCTATGTCAAATGAGTTTTTATCAACAGGAAGTGAAATGTGTACAGCATATGTTAAACGGCGTTGCTCTGAAGATGTCTAAGCAGATTGTGTGACTTCATGGGCTTTATTTCCCTGCATGAAATAAATAAACATTATCTTATCTTACTTGCTAAATAAACAGGGTAGCGTGTTGGCTGTTTAGGCATTCACAATATGCAATTAAATGCTTCCATCCATCCATCCATCCATCGTCAACCGCTTATCCTGTGTACAGGGTCGCGGGGGCCTGGAGTCCATCCCAGCTGACATTGGGCGAAAGGCGGGGTACACCCTGGACAGGTCGCCAGTCAATTAAATGCTTGTTCTGTTTAAAAAAAAGAAGACGCAGCGTACAAAGTGACAGATCTTACATATTCTTGAGGTACTTCCTCAAACAGGGAGTCTTTATACATAATTGCAGGGTGTTTTTGGATCACGTGACCTCTCCGCAAGTCCCGTGGGGGAGGGGGAGGGGGGGGGCTACACACACATCTCGCTCGTGCAGTGGGGTCCAGCACATGCGGAAAGTTGGAGACAAAGTTTTGAAGCAGTGATAACTTACCACAAAAGTAATTTTCGTGAAAGTCTGCGCTTCTATCCGCAGGGTGTCTGGAAATTCTTATAGGCCTACCCCAGTGACACCGTTTTTTTAAATTGTGTAACTTTTTTTAAACTAAATTTGTAATCAAAACTTAAAAAACGAAAACAACGTCTCGCTTGTCTTCCGTTTCGTTCTCCTTAATGTCGATGTTCCTGCGAGACGTCCGTGCCTCCCCGCTGCCTCTCATTCATCTGGCAGAGCAGAGGAGCCCGCGTCCGAGGATATAATGAAGCAGTGTGTCCTTGTCTGAGACAATGCCGCAAGATGCTACGAACGGACGATACTGTTTTCTCAGAAGACCAGAGACGTTTTTGCTCGACTGCAGAGAGAGAGACCAGCTAAAGGTTTGTAACCTCCGCTACGTGAACATCTTCATATTGTTGAAATTCTGGCAGGAAATGACTCAAAGCTTTACACAAAAACCAACCCTGTACAGCCACCGCGCACGGAAGAGCTTGTAAACATCCTGCTGCCATGCGCATAAAACGCTGTGCATGATGAATAACTCTAACACTATTTTCACCGCTGTCAAAAGATACGTGAGTAAAAAACGTGTTTCCTCCTATGATCAAGGTATAAATGATGATTGAGCAAATATGGAAGCTGTGTGTGCCATGCAGTCCACTATAATCAATAATTATATACTTGCTCATGTAATCATTTGTCTAGATTTAATGTTGAATATTTGAAAGCATCATGCGCTCTTCTCAGGGCTACAGGGATTAATAGTAGGCCTATGTAGAAGTATTCATTAGATTGTATTCATTCTGGTTCAGTGGTGGGGGTGCTGGAAATGCTCCTGAATTGAATGTCCCCTCCCCCTAAATGACTGCTAGTATTAATTGAGCACCACACACACAGAGTTGGAGGTAGTTTTCTTTATTTCCAAATGGCAAATAGTATGACATCCAAACTAAAAGCTATGAATCACATGGAAATGATAAACAGCACCTACACACATTATAACGGTTTTCAGTATTTCTCTATAACAGTTAATTGTTTATACTAACACCCTTGGATGAACAGCAAAGCTTTCCGTGCGAATTTAGCTTTCGGCGTCTCCATGACATGCTGCTTCAAGGCTTTGAAGGCAGCCATTAATGTAATTTGTAGTGAGATGATAAACAGAGTGATGTGTGTTTCTGCTTGAGCAGATAGTCAGATTTGCCAAACGCTCCAGTGACTCTTGAATATGTAAAAGTGCTCAGCTCAAGTGCTTCAGCCTGACAGTTTGACGGCTATGGCGTATTAAGCTCAGATAATTGGGTGATATTTACTTACAGAGCACACAATCACTCCACAACGGTATCTTTTTCTCTTAATGAAATGCTTTGTAGAAATTATTCACTCTTCTCTTCTTGACAGGTCCAAATGGCAGCGTGTGTGTATGGGGGGTCTTTAAACACACCACAGTAACGCAATACTAGAACGGGTGGGAAGGATATTATTACTGCTAGTGACGCAAGATTTGGTTTTGATATTGCCAAGCCCTCACTTGCCCAGGGCTCTATGCTGTCAAACGATGTGTTTCATCAACGTCAAAGATCACTCGACTATCAACATGTTGAGACTAGAGCCTTAATTGTGACTTCCCAGAAATTATACTTATGAATTTACCTGTAAGATGGCACAACTCAGCAACACACTCACTTCTTTAGCTTTGAAAGTGGCTTCAACCCTCTCCCCACATGCATCTTTGTCTTCCCTCCTGAGGTTACAGATCAATGCACCGGTGACTGCATGTTGTTAATTCTTTTGCTTTCTCTCATGGTTGTGTTGGACATATATATTTACTGTCCTCTTATTCAGCTTTTTGCTTTTTTAATCTATCCCATGGATTATGATATATTATGTGTTCTATTTACAACACATAATATATCATTAATATTTATTGTTTTTACTGAAGTACCTTTCTTATTGCAGAATGAATCTTTAGCCTCTGCATGACAAGCTAGCTCAACAGAGGCAACAGACCAAGGACTCAATAATGAAGACGAAATATGCAATTTTCTTCATATGTATTGTGGCCCTGGTCATCATCGAAAAGGAAAGCAACATCCTATCAAGGTAAGAGAGGAAAGGACAATCTGTATCTTGATTTTGCAGTAAGTCATAAGAACATTATTCCTTTGCATGGAGTTATTAGTTCTGGGGAAATTTTAGCTTAAACCCCTGTCTCTTTTATGCACTTGAGCCAGAGCTTTGCCTTTTGTATCATCCATCTAGCTTTTTGCTTTGGCTTTCTGATAAAAATTGTTTGGTGGTGTTCTGCAGAGATTGGGCAGAATTGTATCCTAGTGGCTAAAGACTGGCTTGTAACATCAACAATATTTTGGTAAATACTCTAATTCTCTTCTTGCTACAAGTTAGATTTATACCACTCTCACATCACACACAGCAGCTGGTTAGCTTAGGTTAGCATAAAAAAACTGGAATCATGGGGAAGCAGCTAGCCTAGCTCTGTCCAAATGTTATAAAATCAGCCTATTAAATCCATTTAAAGACCAACATGTAAAAAAGTTGTGATTTTATGGACTTTTGTACCGGACTATTTCTTAGACGTGAGCAGAGGATTTTGTTACCTGACAGAGCCAGGCTAACTGCTCCGAACTGCTTAGTACATAATGCAAAGACATTAGACTGTTATCAATCTTCTTATCTAACTTGCGGCAAGAAAGCAAATAAGCTTATGTCCCAAAATGTCAAACTATTCTTTCAAAGACATTATCTGGCTCTGATCCTCTGGATCTGTCATTTACCTACTGTACCTCAAACATACAGTAGCTTCTAGGGGTGTGACGAGATCTAGCGATATTTCTTGTCGAGGTGAAAATCTGTCTCATGATATCAGCATGATGGGGTATGAGGGTGAAATTAGCATGCTGTTAAATCGTTTGTGTAGCAGCATTTTGGGTACCCGGTGGAAACAATAAATGGTGACAGAGTGATTGACAGAGAATCAGAGAAGATATGAACAATATGTTAGTAACACTTCTAAATGCATCTGAATTGTTTTGCATTTTGTGACTTTCATTTTAAAAATGGTTTTAAAATACCATCTTGTTTTGTTCTCGTGAACCCAGTATCGTGTATTATCTCGTCTAATGAGCTAACACTCCTAGTATCGTCACACTCCTAGTAGCTCCACAGAAGTGTGAAATGTAAAATATAACCGTAAAATATAAGACCCCTCTTGGATGTTTACACTGCTTCATCTATATTTAATTGATACTTTTTGATCAAGCCTCTCTATCTAATCAGGGTCTCTGATAAGCTGATCCAGAGACAGACTCCACAGCAGACCCCACAGACTCCAGTGGATTACAGCAACACAACACAAAATGGCTCCCTGGCCATGCTCAAAATGCTGCTCTCTCAACTCACTGGGAGAAAGGGGAATTACTCAAGTCTCTCTGAGGAGCAAGAGGAGGTAGAACTGGATGATTTAGGTAGCCACAGTGGCGGCCGTAAGCACATATTACTCTTGGCTGCCACACGAACAGGTTCCTCATTTGTGGGGGAATTTTTCAACCAGCACAAGGAGAACATGTTCTACCTGTATGAGCCTTTGTGGCATGTTGAACGCATGCTGACCATGGCCACAGAGGCAAACAATGGGACACTGTTGGCAGAAGTCTACCGGGATGTACTGCAGGGGCTCTTCCTGTGTGATTTCTCCCCTCTTGAGAAGTTCATCTCTCCCCCACCTCAGGATCACGTCACCCCTGCTCTTTTCCGCAGAGAGTCTAGTTTATCGCTTTGTGAAGACTCTGTCTGCTCTCCTGTAATCAAAGATGTTTTTGAGAGGTACTGTAAATTCCCTTGATACGCGCTGTTATTGATCAAGCTTACAGTGTTGGTCAAATCTGAAAAAGGTACTAAAATTGAACAGTGATACAGTTGCAAAGAGCGAAGTGTTGCTGGTCTTGGCAGAATTTTTTCTTTTACCAGCTAACACTATAAGCTCCCATCTGAAAGTTTTCTTTAATGATGTCCTCAATTCTTTTTATCCTATGGCCATTCCCTAAGTTCATATTTTTGTTCTGTACAGTGAATTGCAATAAATACTGCATATGAGTCCCATTAGCCTCAGCCTATGTTGCTAGTTTAGAGGTGTAGCACATTCAGAACGCTTTGTCATTGCATTTGGGAACAAAACATTGAACCAGAGTTGCTGAATTCATCTAACATTGAATCAAATAAGCTTCTACAATGCTACTTTCATGTACATGTAGCTGCTAATGTCTAGCAAAAGAAGACATTTGAAGACATCACCTAAGAATTTAGGATGTTGTGATGGCTATTTCTCTCCGTTTTCTGACACTTTATAGACCAAATCAATTAATCCAGGAAATAATTGTCAGATAAATTATAATATACCATGAAACTTAAATTAAAAGCCTAGTCCCAATTAGACGCCTGTCCCTTTTACTGGGCTGATGTTGACGAATAAACACAGGTCTCAATCAGAAGCCTGGTCTAGTTTTATGGTGTATAAAACCTCTGAAAGCCCGGGTTGCCCTCTTGAGCTAGTTCTAGACTGCTTAGATCACACATCCAAATACAAATGTTTTACAGGTATGATCATTTGGTCTCTCTGTCTGTGGTTGAGGTTGGCCTAGATGGGCTGTCTCTTGGAGCTAGATAAAATGATTGAATGTTATCTGATAGCCTGATTTTTATAGAAGTAATTAATACATGTTGAAATTTTGTGAAAGGAATGAAGGGCCTGTCCCAGAGGTACGCCTGTCCCAAATACAGGCAGGGTGAATTCAGAGATTGAAGCAAATAAAAGCCTGGGCTATTAATTGAAGATTTACAGTAATAATGGAAATAATTAGTTGGTTGCAGCCCTATACACAACGTAATTTTAAGCTTTGTGATTGGATGTTTCTTACAAAATGGCCCTTGGAAGTCATAATTGACTTCACCCCTGACTTTTTTAATCTTATTTCGAACAACCAGACATTTACTTTGTACTCATAATTCAGCCTAGAGAGTTTCATGCCCAGACAAGCTCTAACAAGTTCTCAAGTTCTAACTTGGCAGAAATGAACAAGATATTTACTTTAGAATCCTGAAATAAGTCCTCCTACTTTGCAACACTGTGAAAGATATTTATCATACAATAACTATACCACTCTTCTCTTAGGTATCACTGTAAGACTCGTCGCTGTGGGCCGCTAAACTTGACCCTTGCATCAAAATCCTGCCTTTCCAAGCAGCACCATGCCATTAAGACTGTCCGTGTGCGCCAGCTGGACACATTACAGTCTCTGGTGGAGGATCCTCGCCTGGATGTGCAAGTGATCCAGCTAGTCCGTGATCCACGGGCCATCTTAGCATCCCGCATGGTGGCTTTCTCTTCGAGGTTCCAGACGTGGAAATCCTGGGTGCAGGACGGCCAGGTGCCTGAAGATGATGAGGAGGTGAAGAGGCTCAAAGGAAACTGTGACAACATTAGGATGTCTGCAGAGGTGGGACTGAGCCAACCCCCCTGGCTGAGGAACCGCTACATGTTGGTGCGTTATGAGGATATTGCTCGCTACCCTATGCAGAAGGCTGAGGAGATGTACAGGTTCACAGGGATCCCATTTAGTCCCCAAGCTAGGGATTGGATTCTGAGGAACACCCAGACCACACAAGGAGCTAGCGGGATTTACTCCACCCAGAAGAACTCATCAGAGCAGGCAGAGAAATGGAGATATAGCATTCCCTTTACACTGGCTCAGGTAGTGCAGAGATTGTGTGGACCCACCATGAAGCTGTTTGGGTACAGATTTGTGGATGATGAAAAGACACTGATCAATAAGTCTATCAGTTTGCTTGATGAGAAACTATTTCATTAATCAAAAAATATAGCTATGAATCTGCAAAACACAGCACACAATGGATCAGAGCCAGAAGAAGCCATTATTGCACAGACCAAAATTAGCAAGCAAAGGTGCCACAAAATACACAAAATGTTTTACTGGTAACAGGAAGATTTGGGCCATACAGTAATTTTCAAACTCACCAATGATGTGCCTCATTGTAGCAATGAAGAGCCACTTCACAAAGAGAAGTATTTATTTGCATACTGTGTCTACTGTCATGCTCTGTATTTCATTTTAAATGAAAACAGCATAGATGTCAAAACTGTCTTGTAAGAGATTATTATGTAAGATTTTGATAGTTGATCATGTTTAGATTTTCAGGGATAAACTACAGGGAACGTTCAAGTGAATTGTGTGTTGTTTGTGTGTATGTCTGAAAGAAAGTGATGTTTCTATTCATAGAGTTTATGACACCAGTGCTTAATTCTGCCTAGTTTTGTTCTGGTTTGTAGTTTGATATATCTGCACTAGAATTAGACAACTGTTAGAATCACTTTAGATTAGACCTGATGTGTTTTCATAGGGCTTTACATATCCAGCTCAGGTAAAGTGGATGGGACATTGCATTTTGTGGAGTATTTATATCTTCCCAGAACACGGTGTGAAAAAACCAAATACCATTTAAAGCAATTATCTTATGTAATTAAGGTGTCACTACAATATACCTTAAAAAGATCTGATTAAGATGGATATATAATACTGAGATAAAAATAATGAGGTTAAAATGAAGCAGTGTAATGTTACAGAAGAATTATATCATTATATTATTCAGATACCTACATGTGTCTTCAACATATGAATGTGTTTTTCCCAATAGCCATAGTTGTAGTAATGTATTTACCAGGGCTCCCCCCCAATTAACAGGCAGTTGGGTGTCATTTTATAAAATTGGCTTCTCTGCTCCCGCTCTGAAGCACAAGGTGTTGCGTCAGAGCTGATACATTGATTTCAGACAATTGTGTTCATGGACACACGAACAAAATGCTTGTGCAAATAAGTTGTTTTAATTGCTTCCCAGCTCAGAGAAATAAAATCACCAGAAATATTAAGCCCTTTAAAGTTATTTGTTGTAAGATTTGTATAATGTTGATGGTTTTGGTGACAATTGATATTTAAGATGCACACATGTAAATGCATTAATGCATGGGGCCTATCACTTTAAGTGAAACCCAGGTGCTGCTACGTTAACAGTCGCTCTCGATGGTATATAAAGGTATCCACTGTGACTCTAGTTCAATGGCTGTATTGTTTTCAGCTTGGCTGAGGCACTGCTGAAATGGCTGTGCTGCCCATGGAAAGGAATATGCATTAGAGGTACATATAGTAGTGGGCTTATACTAAGTTAGTGTTTAAAACATGCTGTAAATATGAATACATTACAACTGGCAGGCCATTGCTCAGACTCACTACTGAAGTATTTAATCCAAGATGAAGAGTGTAAAAATATATGATATATAATAATTGGGAGCAACACAGTTTTACAGTTATTCATTGATTATAAAGATACTGTATATGTTTGACGGTAAAAGTTGGTGGTTCAGTGTGGAAACACATCAATAGCAGAGCTATTTTTAAGTCTTTTGGGGCAAAATCTCAATTCAAATGTCAATGAGGAAAAAGTCTAATCCTGAGACCTCAGTATTTTCCTTTTATCTTCCTTTTTATGACTTAAATCTGACTTTGAGTCTGTCTGCCGCTCTGGTCAACAGAAAATCTGTCCATTCATACCCAGTCTGTCCATTTCACTAAAATAAATGCAGTGGTTTGTGTCACGCCATCAGCCTTTTCAAAATTCTCTCTGAGAGTTCTGTATCCACATGTTATCAAAACATTTAGTGCTTGGAATAAATTGGGCATACAAATGGATAGTGGAGAAACTGATAATGCTGCAGGAGCAGTTTGAGAAATTTCCTTGGATGTTTTGATACTTTGTGGTATGAAAACTTGTCACCTAGCCAATATAACTGAGATGAATTCAAGCTGACTACAGTTGCTGTACTCTGATGAAACACATTTAAGAGTTCAGAAAGTTTTACAGTGTGTAGTGTATTGTGTGTTAGACGTTGTTGGGTAGCCTGCAATGTTTAAAGTTTAGCATAAATGTGTTGTTGCCTTTTATAAACTTAAAACTGACCACTATGTTGAGTTACTATATCTGATCGTGCAGATCACTACCAAGAAAGAAGCTGCGTAAAAATGTCTTTGTGCCTTTGATTATCATTCAGCATTTTTAAAAACTTTTCAGTAGAAAAACCAGATAAACCTACAGATTTTATGTTTATTTCCCCCTCTATTGTTTCCACACCAAATATTTCTGCTTTCTTATTAATGTGTTTTTAAGCACGGAATGTGAGGCTGAGAACGACACGAACAAAATAAGGATTAATGTGGGATTGTTCACTCAGTTGCATTCCCTCAGTCTGGCTCCACATCTAAATGCATACTGTTGCCAGGGATCCCCAAAAGGCTGAGTGGGAATAGCTGGAGAAAAAAGGCTGAAACAGGGAGCCCATTCAAGTTTGCATTCTGTCTGTTTCACGCCCCAGCTGAGAGAAAGCAGTTTAGAGTTCACAGATGTTGGTCAAGCTGATGCTACCCTAGATCATTACCCTGATGCTGAATATTCCCACAGCAACATAGCAGATGTTTCCATCTTGCAAAAGAAGGAAGTCTTTGTAATAAGCCACTGAACAGCCAGGACTGGCACACTCTCAAGTTTTCTTAAGATGTCGTTTTGAACCAATAGAGGTGCTGTAAAGCACTGAGTGTGTTAAGTGGATCCCTGAGTTTAACTGTTTAACTAGCACATGGACAACATGAACCATTTGTGGACGCAACAGAGTACAAAATGAGTGTGAGAGATCTTTAGGTCATATCAGTTATGCCAATAAGCCAAATTTAAGTATATAAACTGAAAACTAAACACAGTAGTCCCATCTCCCTAGCAGTTTCACATATACTGACACATGATGGAGTTAAATACATCACACACAGTAACAAGCACCAAAATATGACCTGTGGTAGAGACATGCAGTTGGTAAAATGGATATATATATTAAATAGACTGAAGCTAGTTTTGCATTTTGCAGGTGTTTCCCGGTAAAAGGTCAGAGCATCAAACATAATTTACAGTATTACCTTGAAACAAAAGGGAATGTTTGGAATGAATGAAGAATGAATTTCAGCATTGACTTCAGAATTTCCATGTGATATTGAAGGTATTACGCTATTAGTGGCCTATAATGTCGTGAAAACATCAACTTTTATTACTTATTATTATGAGGTTATTACTCTTTTAATGTCACCGTACTTTATTTTAATTAAAATATTGCACTGCTATAACCTTTTTATTGTTAGATGGTTACCATATTGTTATGAAAATATGACTATAATATTACAAAATAGTTTTGCCTCATTGCCATCTTTAAATGTGTTTCCCCATTATTGCTCATTGTTTTGGGGCTCTGTTTTACCCTGTTACATACATTTCAGTCTAATATTACTCAGATACCCATTTTTAATACCAAGCTCTTACCTGGTTATTACTTTGGTAATTGTGTGGTATTACTTCATTATTACCTCTTTATTATAAAACTATTACTCCAGTGCTACGATACATCTACAAGAATTGTTGTTTTTAACAGCTGAATTCAATCATAATATCAGAAATGCTAAGTATAGCCTAGAACTCAAATTCATTGATTATTGACACTGTGAAGAAAGTATTTTAAGACAAAGGCAAAAAAGTATTTCTATTATTCAATTGGCTTCACTCCAAACATTTGGAATATCAAGTGTATTAAACAATGACACATACGTCAGTCTGATAAACGCTTTTTTTCTAAATCTAAACCCGCCTTTGTCTTCTCTCCTCATGCTAAGAGAAACTAGTCAGCTCTGACTTGGTTCCTTAGGTTGAATCTTCATAATGTTTATCTGCTCCAGATGGCAATTATAGATTTAATGGTCTGGCCTACCCTATACTGTAAATAAGTCACCCAGATGCTTTGTATTTTAGTATAAGTGCTGTTTCAGATAATGATAATGATGTTTTATGTTGCTACTTATTTTGCTAACCCTAACCCTAACCCTGACACACATTTTAGTTACAACTAGATAAAGGATTATTTTGTTAAGTCTGGCCTAGTCTATGCTAATGAAACCTTGTGGATAACATGCAACTGTGATAATGAAAGGCAGCTGTACACCATCGCCTTTTTATGGCTCATTACTTCTGTTTTTGTAGGGTTCTCATGAACTCATCTTTGCAAAGACACCAAACCTTTTGTGGCTATAAGAACACATGAAAATAGATAATAATAGCAATAATCTGCTGTATGACGTACTGTACACATAGATTAATCCGTGCATAGTAACTTGCCTGTTCACCTGCAACCCTTTACATAGATGGCTAGCTCACTTTAGATTGAACATGGCCACAAAGTTTTAGGCACAATTTGGCACCGCTTGCTCTGAGGGCGAGACCGGTTTAGACTGTCATGTGATTAAACTACTGTACGAACAGATGCACACATTGTTTTTGCATGCACACATGGTTTCAATGACTCTTCTTGTGCTGTGTAAGGGAAAGGAAAGGAGAGGGCTAAGGAAACAGGAAACCCACCCATTGACCTTTTCTGGCTCTCATCCATGTTCCGCTTCTCTTAAGCACCCCCCATCCCAACTCAGTCTTTTTGGTGATTTGTACAGGTATTAAGTGTTGTTTATAGAAAGATAAACAAGTGCAGGTTTCTTGAAATGGGATTTTTTTGTATATTTCTTGGGAGGTGTGTGTCTGCTTTGTGCAGTTTTTTGGGGGGGATCATGACAGCCACTTTCTATCTTAAGCTATCCAGTGTCACACAATCACTATGCTACTCCAGTCCTGCTCTCCACCCCTCAAGCAAACACACACACACACACACACACACACACACACACACACACACACACACACACACACTTTGGATGGCTACTTTTCCTTAAGCACACTCCATCTCCTCTTACTGGCCGCCCCTCACTGGAAGGTAAATAAATCCTGTGGTTGGGGTGGAACACTGAGTGCCCTCATATGCCTCTGGAGCTGCTCTGCCTGAAAGAGGCCTTGTGTTTGCCTCTGTAATATGGCTCCACTTGCTCCACACGCTGGCCATGCACAAATCAGCTGCTCTATGGAACACCCCCAAAAAGGAATTGGTTAAAAAAAAACACTGTGTTTTAAAACTAAAACCATACACTTTTTCTTATACATGACATACATACTGCTGTTGCAGTAGCTACCTCCAGAGACAATTTCAGGATAAATAATGTTAATGAAAAAGCAAGAATATAACTGCATAGTCCCTGCAACCCTATACGCAGGATAAGCGGTTGACGATGGATGGATGGATAATTGCATAGTACCCTCCTGTGATGTGCTGCATGTATTTGCTGTGTGTCCTGCAGAGGGCAGTAGACCCCACAGGATCATCAAGTGTCACAAGTCTAGTCACAAGTTTGTGTTTGTGTGTGTGTGTGTGTGTGTGTGTGTGTACAGAGAAGATACGATTGTGTACAGTACATGTGTGTGCGCACACAGGCGTGCAGAAATGCATATATGTATGTTCTATATGCATGTGGGCATATGTGCATTTGCATGTGTGTGGGGCTTCTCTCAGGTGATCGCTCACATGCGTAGCAGTAATTGTTTTATCTTCCTTATTACAGGAAGTTTTCCTGCAGCTCAAGACAAAGCAGAAAATGACTCCTGCTTATGCCTGTTCCTCTTTAATCCATTGTTGGTCGCTCTGCTCCCTTCACTGCGTCCCTAGAGCTCAATGGGACGGAAGTGTGAAAGATGTCCGCATCAAAGAGGGTGCAGGCCAGCACTAATCCGCAAATAATGGCAGGCAGGCAGGGCTAGACTTAACACACATGTCCTCTTACTTATTAATCTTGGATGGTATAGAGCTGTCCCTCATGGGGATCATTGTACAACATTACACCTGCACTACAGCCAGATTTGAGTTAGAATGATCACAAAACGAGTGAAAGAAGGTCTAAAGACACCTTAATGTTTCACATCTTATACTATATTAGAAAGAAAACAGAAGTGTGAGAAGAAGTGTGTAGCGCAGAAGTAGAAATTATAACAAGAGACATTAATACACAAGCTTTGTTCTGTCCATAAGCTGATTCTACCCAGAGAAGTGGACACCCTCTTGTGGGGAAAGACTAACTATTTATACACCAATATTACAAGCTATTAAAATCAAGCATTTTGATATGATAGCTAGAATCACACACACACACACACACACACCTCTTAACTGTCAGGTGGGAAGCCCTTGAGGGAAAATTCTTCCAGAGTCACCTGTACCATTGTTTCCTCTGCTCTTCCTGTGTGAGGAGCCTGTGTTGTTTGAATACAATGGGGTCAGGGAAACCACAGCACCTGTCAGAAAGACACTCCATCATTGTGACAGAGAGTGGAGTGACAACAAACAGCACAAACGCTCACTAAAAACTAGCCCTATCTTTGTGTTTTCTCACTGCTTTTATGCTGGTGCCATTACACAGAGAATTGTGTGTGGACCTCAGAGTAAATGACCTGAATGTTTTATATTTACTCTTTTATTCTTTTTTCTATTTCAGTTGAAACAGAGAATGCTGCACATATTTTGTTGTGCTGACTTTGTGGCACTGTCTCTGTGTGCTAATGGTGTTGCAGAACACTGCAACAAAACCTTTCTCTTTTAATATTTTTGTTGTCTTTGACAAAACTATAATCATAAGAGT